TACTGAATTATTCTATCATACATAAATAAATAGAAGACATTAAAAATGTAATGTTTTTCATCACAAAATTAATGAAAAATGACACTTATTAAAGAATTTATCACAAAGTTAATAAAAAATTAAATTCAATAAATTTATTAATATTTTAACAGTTCTTAGAAATATACTACAAAAATGTAAAAAGATATTTTAATATTGTCTTTGCCTTTATTTTACATTTTTGTAATTATTTAAAACAAAAATTCACAAAATATGTCATTATTAAGAATTTTATCACAGAAACTTTGATTTTTTTCTTTATGCTATTATTCGGCATAATAATGAATATCTTGATTTTAAAATTCATTTTTTAAAGATTCATTTGTTTTCTTTATAACTTATGATGTTGATACTACAGCGATTACTGTTTTTCACACCCACATACACTCCAAGTCATTTTATTCAACTGCGATTGGCTAATAAATTTCTACTACCTTTGTATAGGACAATTTAGCCATTGCACTTGTTCCTTTAAATCTTTTGGTTCTGAGCATACTTACCTATTCTGTTTAGTACAGTGTGTAGTGATTGGTTAATTTTTAACCAATCACATATTTTTAATGTAAGATCAAGTTTTCACGCAGTTTCATGGGAGCCTACCTTTTTCCCTTAAACAGGGCGACTTTTCGCAAGCCGCCAGGAAGATCCAGTAAGATCCCAGCCATCAACACAAATCCACAATCTTACTCAACGCACACACAGACAGAATTTCATACCTACAAACTTACAATTTCTCTCTGTAACTTTCACCAAGGACAATCAACCAGAACTTTGTTGATTCAAACCAGTTTATCCACAACACATTTCAAGCAATTGTATTTCTTTGTGTTATTCATTCTTCACATGCAAACTTTGCTCTAACAATTATTCCGGAACATTTATCTCACAAGAGAACTTTCTTCAAACGGTTGATTACAATCAATCTACAATTAAAGGAAAACAACTTCCTTCTCTTAAATCTACATTGTGACTACAAAATTATTTCATGCTTGTCTTTTATTCAATATATAATTGATGGTTAATAAATTGGAGTTGTTATTATTACTTGAAGCCTGTATGTTGAAGTATCATTAATATAAATAGTAGCAGTACCTATATATTTGGTACCCCGTTACAATACCATCTTTATAAGAAAATGAAAGCATGAATGTAGCTATTTTCATGGATAATTTTCCCAAAGTACTTTGCAGAAATTTGTACATTTGAAAAAAATTGAATAAAAATTGAATATTTTTTCTATAATATTCTTCATATGGACTTAAATTTTTAAAAAATTATTTACAGGTATTTAAAAAAACATTTACTAGCAGTGTTGTTGCTAAAAATGTAAAACGAAATTAACCAGTTTAATATTTTTTAAAGTATTTTTTTTAAAACAGTGTAAAAAAATATTAAACTTGTTAATTTTGCTTAAATAATCAATTTTTATGGGGGGGGGGAAGGAGACAATTGATCCACGCACCCCATAAAATACGATTATTCAAAAATGTTAATGAGGGAGGTCAAGTTCACAATGTAACTTTTATGTAAAACGGACACTGACCAGTGAAACAATTCGGAAATCCTTTAGAATCTCGTAATTCCTTAACCCATTACCTGCCATGAGCCCCAATTTTGGGGATCTATTAAAATTAAACTCACTTCATGTTATTCCTTGTATTTACATTGAATTGCTTACATACATTGCATTTGCAGAGGTATATTTTACAACACTTAGTCTTTAAAGTTTTTATTATTAGCTGTAAGACACTTTGTCGTAATTTTACATTTCACGAGTAGAAAAATAATGACTATTTTGAAAAGTATTTTTTTTTATTATTTCTAATCAATATTATTTTTTGATGTTTTTATTCACATATATATTTGATGTTCTAGTTTCTATAAGGAACAGTAAACTATTTCTACATGTATTATATAAAATCGTGTATTTTAGTTTTGGTAAAATTGACTGATAAAGTACTGAAGTTTTTATTTAATTTTTCTTGCATTCTTGTAATTTTCTTCTTTCCTGGAAATAAATTATGTAGAAATTGTCCAAGTGCTTTTGTCTATACTTTTAGCCAATATCAAGAATGATTTTATTTTTACTTTTAACTGATGTATGGATTTTTTTTTTTATGCAGCTATCTAGTTATAGGAATGTCTTATTTTCCAAACATGGTCAGCACATTGTGGCCGTCTTCATAATTGATTATTGAGTGTTGGCATTTTCTCTTTTATTAATAACTAGCAGCATGGCCCGGCGTTGCCCGTGCTTGATTCAAAAATCGTACGACTCATACAGCAATCGCTATCACTTGATTTAAAATATTTTTGCCGTTCCTTGCCTTTAAAAGAATGCTCTTTGCCGTGCTGATGTTGCTACATGCCTTACTTCTTGCCTATCTCACACTGCAATTTTTTTCTAAGCTCTATACTAAATATTTAATTTGTTACGAAAAAAAGAACTAAACAAAATGAACACAAAACGATCAGCTTTAAAAAGGGACTCGTAACTGGAAAAACCGAATGAAAAAAGAATGTTAGCAACAAATACTTTTTCACACCCGACCCAGTTCTGCGGAATCAGAATCAATGTTGAGTTTAAGCAAGCGAATGAGCCAAATGGAGTAAAGTGTCATGCAGATTTAAAATTTTCCCACTTGTGACAAATGCAGCTATCGATTTTTTTTGCATGCTAGTTAACAATCATGTCAGTCAGCTGTTGGCCAGTACAAAATGGCTGCAAACTACATGAAAACTGCCATAGAAGCATGAAAAAAATCGATTATTTCCACTATCGATGGGAGTTGGGAAATGCAAAGTCAGTCTTGGCCTTCCCACTAAATTGGAGCATGTGAATGTAAATTTTGGTGCAAATCCGTCGAAAATTGCGGTTGTGCATTCATTATACACACATACACACACACATCCTGCCTTTTATAGATAGAGATGCTTTCATTTCTTTTTAGCCTTTTTTTTTTTTTTTACATGTGGATACATTTTATTAAGTAATAGCCTTATCCAGAAAAAAAAAATAATTATAAAAACAAAAAAAAAATTAAATAAACTTATCACTGTATCTTGCCAGTCATTTTTTTTTTGTGTGTGTGTGTGTGTGTGTGTGTGTGTGTGTGTGTGTGTGTGTTAATTGAGATCAATTTCAAAAAAATTTACATTCAACAGAAGTTGGGGGAGGGGGATGTTTGGACGAACATTGTTGCCCTTATGACCTCTGAGGTTTCTTTCTCCTAACCATGAAATGACATATATCCATCCCTAGTGGCTTTCATCTCATTCCTGGTGTTGAACACAAAAGACTTGGCTTTCATTGACAGCTCATCCTTTTTATTCCCCCCACCTGCTGTGTCAAAATAGAAGTTGTCATATTATTAACGCTCTTCATATGCATGAAAGAGAAATGGGTCTGTTCAAAATTTAGCACCTCTTTCATAACATCATGTTATGTCACTTTCAAATTTATAGCCTGCTAAAGACATGTCGCCAAGCACCTGATGCACCCATTATAAAAATGGCTTATATTCAAAACTAACATCTTCAAACTTAACCTTTAGCATTCTGCATTATTAATATTTCTTCCTTTTCTACTGCATTCTTTTTCAAAGCCTCTCAATTGCTATATCCTTATTGTTAATTTTACTTAAAGTTGTTTTCTGTTGCCATAGCAGGATATAACAACACATCTATGAAATTTTACACACTTATTTAGGGATCAGAGTCACCTCCAGTGATAGAACAAACTTTTTGTACAGCATATAAAGTCACATACAGACTGATAAAGGTTAAACTTTGCTAGAACACACAATAAGTTAATAGTTTTGTTTTTGTTAAACTAGTGATTTTCAATTAGAAAACCGTCTTTTGGTATATAAAAAAAAATAAAATAAAAATCTGTTGCACTCCAACACAAAGTCACACAAATAACAAAATAAAAATAAACAAGCCTTTCTTTTTTAAAGTATCATTTAGTTTATCATTAAAAAGCAAAGTTTTGTTCACGATACATCAACGATTAAGAAGGAATAATAAAATAGGACAATAATAAAAATGAAAAGATGATAGGAAAGTTATCAAAGTATGAGAATCTTCATCAGTCACATTCACCAACACGGGCAGTCAAGGAGATCCAAACAGAGCCACACAAGATGAAAAGTTAGCTTAGATTTCAAATTGACAACTAATATCAAAGATTCAATTTGTTTGATAAAAATTGACAAGACATTTTTGGGTTTTTTTTTTTTTTTTTTTTTTAAATCTTAGGCACTGGATCTCAAGACTAAATTAAAATCCTTCCTTAGCAAAGAAGAGATAAAACTGCCAGGATATACACCTGGAAAACTTGTCTTTCTACAGAGTGACATTCAGAAACTCAGCAGACATCTATTTAAAAAGAAGGAAAAAAAAAATAAATAAATAATAAAAAGATATTTAATTTTCTAAAACAATTCTTAGGAATACTGATAATTGTATAATAATTTAAACTGAAAAGCTTAAACATTTGAACATTTATGATAGAGAAAAAAAAAAAAAATGAAAATTCCATTCCAAACTAAACTTTAACAATTTAAAACCTGTATATGCACAATAAAAAAATATTTTCATTTTTCTTTTTTTTTTTTAAAAGGCAGATTATGAATTGTATTAAAAATATTTCTATTAAAAAGTTAATTCCTTGTAGAAACTTAACTTCTATACAAAAGAAAGTGTAAAATCTAAACACAGTATGCTAATCAGTCTTTACAGGTATTTTTTTTTTTTTGTTTACGATTAAATGAGATTTATGTACACTGTTCAAGATTTTTTTGTCTTTTTCGTTAACAATGACAAGATAAATATTAAATGGCTTTGCAGGAAATGAATAAAGATTTTTTTTTAAATCTCCACAAGTGGAAAATTTGAGAAACTGTCAGAAAAAGGACTCAGAGGATGGAAGAGAGAGTTACAGGACATCAAGAAAACTCTCAAGGAGTATTAAGAACTTGCAAAGGAGTATGTCGTCTTTTACGAGTGGCTCTTATTTTGTAGGCAGGCATTTTTTTAGTGGCAACATCTGAATCACTACTAGAATCGTAAGTAGGCGGTTCATTTTCGGAATCTGGAAGAAATTAAAAATATGAGAAAGAAATTTGTTTATGGGAAATTAATATTTCATTTCAAAATCATCCAAGTAAAAACATGTCAGGAATTGAACAAGATGTGAAAACTTGAAAAAAAATGTGATACATGAAACAAATAGATGCCAAAAATTTTTTTTTTAACTATTTAGCAAAACGAATTACATTTAACAATTTCAAATTTATTGTTTTATAATTGCCTACAAGAATTGTCAATCATAAATCTAAATTTATGATTGTCTTTAGTTGACAATTTTCGATTAATGTTGCTATCAATTATGGACTTCATCTTGAATAGTATTGAATTTCCTCTTTTTTTACTTTATTTTCTTTTATTGAAATCTTAGATTTTCACTATGGTACCTAGATTTCTTGAATTTAAGCGCAGTACTAGACTGGCATCAAGATCTCATCAATTTACAGTTGAGCTGACTCAATGTAGCTTTATACACTTCTCACTTGTGGAACTCCCTTCCAGCTCCATGCTTTTCCAGCCAACTTTAATGTTCAAAAATTTAAATGCAATGTCAATTGCTATCTACTGTTCTAATTACTCATCTTTTGTTCTCGCTCCCTAATAATGTTTCTGTTTTCTAATTCTTCCACACTCAGTAACCCCCTCCTTGTGTCTTAGTGGCTTTACTGCCAATTAAAAAAAAAAAATTCTTTTTTTAATCATTAATTTCAACAACTAAAAATTAAGGCAAAAGTACATACAATTCAAAATTAACAGCTGACAAATATGTCTTTTCTGAAAATGAACTACAAATGTTTAATTAGTTTATTTTTAAATCTTTATTGCTTTTTATCCGAAAGCTCAATTTGTTTTTATAGTTGACAAGATAAACAGAGAGTTAAAAAAGTAAATGCAATTGTCATTCATGATGATTTGTACTTTCAAGTTGAAAAGTGGTCAGGAGGACAAACATTATTTCAGTGCTACAAAACTTTCAATAAATGGTATACCTGTTTAAGCTGGCAACCTAAGGATCTGGCCATTGCCAGACTACAGAAATTGACTGCTTATTTGAAAATACGTTTTTATATAGGTTGTAATAAATTAAAATTGTTTGCTTATGTTTTTTAATTGGTTGCATTAAAAATAATTTCTGAGATACAGAAGAAAAAAAAAAAATTCAAACACAAACACCAACAGTTGTCAAATGTGGTAGGGATTGCCAAACTGCAGCCCACTAGCCATAACCCCTGAAATACAGCATTGGTTTTCAAACTGTAGTGAGAGACCACCCCCCACCCTTACACACATTCAAATTTAACAACTAAATGAATAGTTTGAAGAAAGAAAAAAAAAGAAAAAAAAAAAGCAAATTAGACATATTACTTTAACCCTGATCACCCCCTCCCTTACCCAGTATATTAACTTGTTCAGCCCTTTAAAGAAAAAGTTGTTTCTAGGTCAACCTATCGGCTCATCTTTAATTCTTCCTTCTTTCCTTTCTTTCCCTCCCACTCCTAAATTTTTTTTTTTAAATTTTATATTAAAATTTTTCTTTTTTTTTTTTTTAATAAAAATTTTTTTTTTTTTTTTTTTTTTTTTTTATCTCCCTTTTCCTTTTGTCTAGACAAATTCATTTAAAAGAAAAACAAAAAAAAAACCAAAAAAAAACCTTTGGTCTGAAGAGATATTTAAATATATTCATGAAATAAATTTCAACAAAAATGGATTTTTAAGGATTGTCTTTACTTATTATATTGCTCCGTTACTTACAATGGCTCTCTTTGGATTAATGTCCTCCTTGGAATTATTCCTAACAATTACAAATTGGTATTTCTTCCTGGGTAATGCTAGGAATCATCTAATACAAAGATGGACGACAGGCTTGAGATAAAATATATTAAAAACTTATGCTGAAAATATGACAAAATAAAGTGAAGGTGCAGATTTCAATAAATCTGGCCATTCTAGTGGTCCTTGGAATTTGGTTAAACTATAAACAAAAATTAATATACTTACCACTTTCACTTGAAAAGTAATCTGTCTTATTTGTTTTCTTTCGTTGAGGAGTCTTTTTAGGAAGAGCCTTTTTAGGTTTATCTACAAAGCAAAGCACAAAAGAATGGTTTAATCAAGATAATACACTTTCAACATTATTAACTTTTTTGACTTATTTCTTTCCTTTTACTTTATTACAACACTCAATTCATCATTTTACAATTGATTAGTAGTGTAGATTAGAGGGGTATTAAGATTTTTTTTTTTTATAAATAATTTTTTTTATCTAGGGAATGCACATAAATTAGATATTAAGAATAATTAAAAATAGTCCTTAATTTCACTTTTAAAATGTGTATATTTCCAGATATGTGAGTCTCTAGTGTAAAATTGTATGGATGGTATCTGTAAATGTTGATAAAATTTAATTTTATTAACATCTCAAAGTCTTTTTCAATAATGTTTCTTTGGATTTGATCACTCAGTAGTGATAGCACTTAAACCAAACGATTTCGGTTTCATAAAAAATTATGATGCATTTTCACGGTGTGAAGATGAAACCAAAAAAAAAAAAGTCCGTTTTTCTGTTAAACCACCCATTTCTACTGCCAAGGTTAAGAAATGTACGAATATTCCATTCATTAAATAGTAGTAAATCATACTGCATACTGCCATTTAAGAAGACATTTTACAAGACTATTTCAAGGAACTATCACTCACTGCAATCCATTCAAGTCCCCTAGCTGTCCGTTTCAGGTTCTGATAAACAGCCTCCTAGTTATAACACCAGTTTATTAGAGGAGGTAATATAATATTTGCAGAGGGTTTATATTTTTTTTTATACTGTGCATTAAAATATTGTAAATAAGTAATATTGCACAAAGCAAGCAAAATGTTTATCAAATTTCTCAGTTTAGAACATGCAGGAAGAAATTTAAAGTTTTTTTTTTCCTTGTACTTTATAGCCCTCTTGACTACTGCCCCACCATTTTACCCACCGAATAGAAGATTGCAGCATGAAAACCTGACAAATCAAGACAAATTTATCACAGACCGAGAAGTACCAAATTTATGATAACTAATTTAGAATGTAATAATTAGAAAGAGGAGTTAGAGAGTATATAACTGAAACTTAACCTTATTGCAGCCTGAAATACTCATTAATCATGACAAATTCATGACAAACCATAATGGATCACTAATTTTAAATTTGATACATGTAGATTTGGATACAGAAATAAGGTTAAGTTTAATTTATGTCAGTTAAAACATACAATATTACTTGCCATGCTAATGAATCCTTATACTGCTATTATAGCTTGAAATCCTTATTACCAGTAATCTTGACAAGTTTATCACAAATACTAAGTTCACTGAAAGTAATGGTCTCATGAAATTAGGTTTGACTTATAGTTTGGTTAAAACTTAAGACACTACCAATACAGCTACAGACAACACATGATGAAAACATTGTTTTGGCTACGAGGGGCGTGTTAATATAGCATTGTTAGCACTTGCGAATGTTATCAAAAGGCTTTCTCAATCATTCAGAATTCACGTAAACAATATGCATGAATAGATACCATTTTATTACATGTGAGCGTTAATATTATATCAAAATTAACTGAAGTATCAACTTCAAAACGTTAATTTAATTTTGAAACGCTTGACTCGTTTCACTTTCAAGGACTCTGAATCAAATGTAACAGGGAAGTTGGTGCTCATCCCACATACCAAATTTATAACTCCAGTCACCAACCTTCAATTTATAGGAAGTAGGATGGGTTTTGGAGATATTTTATAGGAAAAAAAAAAAAAAAGCCAGTTATTTGCATTCTAACATTTTCATTTATAATCTAATTTTATCTTGAAGTCATCAGAAGGATTTTAGAGGTTAATCTAGTTTTGCTAAATTCATTCTCCCAGGCTGATATTTTAAGGGGGGGTGGGGGGATAAAAAAAAAAAAAAAAGGTTGATTATATGGCAAGAAATGCAGTGTCAACCATGCTAAATATATTCAAGAGTACATTGTAGTAAAAAGTTTGTCTCCATTTAAAATTGGAACTATTTTTGCTTTTTTCAGAAACCATCTAAGATCAAATAAAGCAGTAGAATTAAGTTAAGCCCCATACACTTGACATTAATTTGATAATTATGAATGTTGGTCAAAAAGTAATAATTTAATAATAATTTAATTTTAAAAGTAAAAGTAACAATTTCCAGGTTTTTCATTTTAATTATAAACCATGAAGTGTCTAAAAGCCAAAGGGAAATTATGTGCGGAGTTACTCTCTCTTTTCTCATCTATAATCCACTTTCATAATGGTTGTCTACTCTGGACAGAGGAAAAAAGCAATGAGCTAACTTAAAATTTATTTTGGAGTGAGAATGTGTTGCAAACATTCACAGGGAGTTCTTGAACGATTATGTAAAGACTGCACTTGATGTAAGCACAGTAAGGAGATAAGTCAGTAAAGTTTATGTTAAACCTATAAAGGAGAAATAGATTTTAGTGAAAGGCCCCATAGTGGCAGGCCAGCTGCTGTTATGTGGAAAAAACCAAATAGGATGAAGCTTGCATTAAAGTTGATAAAAGAATCACTACTGCAAGAATCAGTGAAAGCTTCTAGATGAAGCAGTCTCTCATTGTTACTCAAAAGCATGTGCTAAGTGTTTTCTCAAAATGTGGACTCCATGAACGAGCAGAGTGATTGCTGTCCAATCATCTCTGGAGCTGTGCAATATGAATAGCACTACATAGAGAGTGGTTCTCCTATAATGGTAATGTAAAAGAAGCAATATGCAGCTAAACATTGCAAGCTTGTAAAGCAGCCAAGTAGCTTCATGGCAGATATATATATATATATATATATATATATATATATATACACCATTCAAAGATGGAATATCCCAACTGAGAAAGAAAGAGAGTACTATGTTGAGAGCTAAATTTGAAATTCTAAGATTTTTCTTTTCATTTTCATATGCTTTATGTGCTTCTAATGTTAAATCTATTAAAGAAGAGGCATTGCATGTCAACAGACCTTTCAATAAATATCAAGTTACTCACTACAGGAAGAAAAATAACCTTGAAAGACTAATGAAAATTACAAGTTCCAATAATCATTACAGAAGCAACAGGCAACAAAGTTCTAAATAAACACCTGTGTTTTGCTTTGATTTTTTTTTTAACCAAGAGAAATAAAACCACTATTTGTGAAGAGTAGAAAAGTGACCAGTTGCCAAAAACCATTGTCATGCAGACATCTGCATACTCCCCTTCCCTCCTTGATGTAATGGGACAGGTGCCATCATACTTCTGTCTAAACTGCCTAAAGTTGGAAACACTGTCCACACACTGTAATACAGGAACATGACAGAACAGATACTATGCTTTCATCCAAAGCAGACTGGTAATGTTATTATTGTTCTTGTAAAGGAAGATATTTATGTGATAACAAATGTTTCACGTTATGAGGTCAGCTTAAAGTAGCCATATTTTGAATTGAATTAAGGAATTAGAAAAAAAAAAAAAAAAAAAAAAACAGACTTGCAAAGAATACGCAAAATATTAAAATGCATAAGTCAAGAAAGAGGTTGATAATACAGAAATAGGATAGAAAAATTGGATGTAATAAGTAATTAACAAATGCCTAATTTATACCTGGAGTCTGAGAGACTGTCTTTGAAGCTGTCCTACGGGTACGGGCTGGTGTCTTGGCTGGAGTTTTGAACACATGAGCAACTTGCGTGACTACTTCTTCACCAGTGAGTCCTTTGTTATGGCACTCTACAATTTGAGCTTCCAGTTCATCAATAGTTGTCTGAATAAAGAATCAAGTAGTTTTATAATTAAATTGGATAAAATATGGCAGGAAAAGATTCAAGCAGTAGATATTTCAAGGTTTACAGCAATTTTGTTGACAAATGATAATTTTTCCCTAGTTGCATAACACTAGTTATCCATTCAAAGAAATAAAAAAAAAAGCATTTAAAAGAACTGAGTAGTTGAGGCCATAAATTTTAAAATTACAAACAAAATGCTGAAAAGTTATATTGTTGCTGTATAAGTGTTATCTCTTGTACACTAGCAACATGAGGTGGAAGTGTACAGGACGCTGTACACTGCCACCTTGGAGGTGAAAATAACAAACTCAATAATACAGCAGGGGTAAATGAGTACATAGATACAAAAACTATAGTTGCTAGATTGGGCCCCAAAATTTGACTACATTTGAAAGCCCAATGATACTAATGTTGGAATTTCTTCTCATCAGTAGGTTACTCCAACTAATTTTACAAGTAGAAAAAAAGTTGAAGAAAACCCAATCTGACAACCCTGACCTAAAAGGCTAAATATTTATCACACACATAATGCTAGTGTTAAAACAGGGCTTGATGTAATATAATAGATCTATTAAGTATATATTAATAAATATACATATTGTCCTTCACAGGTATCACAACTTTGATGTACAACACAATCTTCAGGTATTGAGTATAGACTGACTGTTACATAAATTTTAATAAAAATATCTTGTTGGCACAGTCCATATATTATATGAAAATTACAGTCTTTTTACTTTTTAAAATATATTTTGCATTTAAAATAAACAGGAGATTATATATATATATATATATATATATATATATATATATATATATATAAATAAATTTTATTTAAATCTGAATATTAATTTTACATTAAGCATAAAAAAAAGTCATGCTACCAGTGAGGGATAAACTTTGGGGGGCAGGTTCCTCACATCAAAACAAGGACAAAAGTCCATATAAACATACATCCACAAATCCTTCGTTTTTCAGTTACCAAGTTTGAAGAAAGTTTACAGTAGTTGGGATTGTGTTATTATGTAGGTTATATCTGTCATTCATATACATTTGTGGCTTGTCTGTCTTCAACGTTTAACATTTGTAGTAATGATTCAACTGAGAAGTGTTCTGTTTAACAATGGCAGGATATTCATATCATGAGCAGGCAGGAATGATTTTTACATACAACCTCATGAACAGTAATGGATGTAAGGCTGCACGGCTGTATCTGATTGCGTTCTCAGACCAAAGTCAGCCGAATCATTCAACCTTTTCTGCTGTTTATCATTGTGTTGCCGAGACAGGATCCACAAACTATGGATCAAGCATTGAATCTCGGATTGTACATACAGCGTCTACTGTAAACTTTAAGCTTAATAACTCAAAAATGAAGGATTTGCAGACATGTTTATATGGACTTTTGTCTGTTTTGGTGTGAGAAAGCCATCCCCCAAAGTTTGTAGAAGTATTTTTGATACAACCTGTAAGTATGTGTGTGTGTATATATATATATATATATATATATATATAAAAATGTATGTATGAGGCATTGCTGAAAAGTTCTTAAGATTCTAAACCCAATTTCTGATATTTGATAATTTGGTTAAATTATAAAAGTGGATAGGGCTAAGAACATTTCAACATAGCTTTATATTTAATGGTTAAATTAAAAATTATGAAATCCAGAATTTAGCCAATTCATAAAGAATGCTCCCATATTATAATTCTGTTTAGTTTAAAATAATAAATGAAATTAAACCATTTAATACTTTCCTATTTCCAGCTACTTTGAAAAGTAAAGAGCAATCGTAAAAATGCAATCATGAAAAAGGAACTCGTTACCTTGAATTCTGCTTTACACTTGGTTCTGGATTTCTTGAGAATAGATGTGAAATAATGATACAAATTGTCATCAGCCAACTTGTCTCCATAGCAGGTGAAATTTTCCTGTAGCTTGCGAACAGCTTTCTCGTTAAATGACAATAAAGACAAACAGAATGCAAGATCTCTCCACTGACGCTCAGTTCTGAAAGGAAACAGAATTGAATTACAAAACAAAATTCTCACATTTTTCTACATTGTTCTTCACTTACAAACAAAAGCGTTATCTTTTTTCTGCCTTTTTTCATCTATATTGATTATAAAGAATCATTGGCTTTGATAAATAAAAATAATGTACCAACAATAACGCTCTTACAAGAAAATTTATTATTTTACATAAAAAAAGTCTAAAAACAATTCAGTCAGTTAAGTGCCATAATTGGGCAATCATGTCACTTTCAATTCAGAATATTTTCTCACAGTATGTCAAATGTTTGTTTCTGCAGTAGACTGGTTGCCAACCAAAGCTATAGGACCCAGTCTTAGTATTAAACCCATATCTAGGGGAAAAAGAGATGGAATCATACATTTCCCCAAAGGTATTTGTGCAACAAACCCAACTTGTCGCTGATTTATCTGCCTATATTTCTGAGATGAGGTATTATGTACACTATTTACATTATTCGGACTAGTGTCCTTATCTTTGTCACCATATTTATTACAATATTTCAGCCATTGTACGCTCAAGCCTTCTTCAGTTGGTTGGATGTCAAACTGAACCCTTTATTTATCTCACTGTTCTAGTTCCACATGCCATGTTTTAATAATAACAAAAATTGCAATATGAGCACTAGTAAATTACGGTTGCTGAAGACATTAGGTTTATAATACCCAGAAATTCATATACAGAAGGGCACAGTGGATAAAGGCGTTAGTTAGATCCAGTGACAGGACCCAAAGAGTGTGAGTTCAATACCTGGATAAGGCAGTGGAGAACTTGGAGAGGGGAATTAACAGGAGATAACTGATATCCATTAGACATGGCACGTGGAACTAGAACAGTCTACCCCAGTGAGCAAAATAAAGGGTTCAGTTCAACATTCTAACCACCTAAAGGCCGGAGCATACGTTGTAATAAATATGATGACAATAGTCCAAATAATGTAAATAATTGTCTCTGATTTCTCATTCCATTACACCAGAGAACACATCCCAGTTTCTTTTAAAAACAGTTACCAAAATTAAAACTTAGATTTTCCATACAAATTGATGATATTTGAAACTAACATTTATTTGATAATGCAGATGGCACCTTTAAAAATAAGTCATCTAAACAAAATGACTTTCTTTATAATGATTATAATACCAGTAGTAATTATCATAGTAGTATTGGTAGTTATAGCAATAGTAGTAATTACTATTATTATAATACAAAGAAATTCAAAATGACAAGTTCCTCTCCACATCTTGAGTTAAATGTATGAGATTTTCAGATTTCAACTACTATTTCAATAAGCAGTTTTTATTCACAGGAGTAACCATTTTGATTATATCACCTAATTAGTACAAAAACTATCTTACTAATCTCCCATCACCACAGTAGAAATAGTGTCGACAAATATGATCAGACTATATTTTGTCCATATATTAAAAATCCAGTTGCAGAGGTTTTAAATTTAAAACATTAATCAAAACTGATGTAAATTGATGAAGTCAGAGTATAATATTAACTTAGTAGCAATTTAAGTATTCAGCAGACAAATTGCCATCTCCTAAATAAAGAAGGATTTTAAGAAGGGATTTAAACAATTACCAGAAAGACAAACTTCTCCCATTTCTATTGTTGAATAAGAAGAAAACAACAACAACAACAACATTATGAGAAAGATACATACTTGGTAACCCTAAATCTTTGGCACAATTTCTCCACCAGACTCTCAGATTGTTTATCTTTTTGAATGAAAGTAAATAAATATCTGGAAAATATATAAACACAAACACATTAGATAACAAAAGAAATTTATGGTAAACAAGAAAAAAAAATAAAAAAAAAAAAAAAAAAAAAAACTCTATGTTTTTAAAGTATTTAAAAAAAAAAGTCAAAAGCGTTACATACTTCAAAATAGTTTGGAATTGAGTTTCTTCCACACCAATTTCAGAATCTGACAAGCGACTGATAATATCCGCCATCACATTATAAACAGCATTGCCCTAAAAGAGAAAGAAAGAAAAATCAATGAATTGGAGTTATTGAAATTTTTACTTCCTTCCATACAAATCTACTGAGGTTGTTCACCTCAAAGTTCAGATGAAAGTTTCTAAATGAAGATTTAAAAGGTCCAACAAATTTCATAAGAATTTAATGTCATTTTTCAGGCAGAAATCTACATAAAAATATAAGAAAAGCTTACTGACATTTATTTAATAGCTACTTGGATATCCAAGTGGTATTTGAACTTAAGCCCATTGCAATATTGTCAGCTTCAATTTAAAGTGCACAGTTAAGAACCATGAGTATTTGTTTGGCTTAGTCTGATGTGTAATACACCTAGTAAGGATTGAACTCCATACACACGAGTCTGCTATGTTGGTGAGGCAACTCATTATTCATATAAGAAAAAATTCTATAAACATTGTTCATAGTAAACTCATTAAAACACAAAGTATGAAACTATGTAAAATTGTGCATTTTCAGTGAATCATATAACTAAAAAAGAGAAGTTAGAAATGACTCCAAGCTAACAATTCAAATGTTATGAATAGAGCCTTCTTACATTAAGACATTTGAAAGGTTTCAAATTAGGATTTTAAGTTGCCTCTTTGTGATTATCTCAGCCCATGAGATTTTTTTTTTTAAATCCTAATCTAAAGTTACAGATTTATGGAAGCCTGCACTCTCTCCCAAAATGGTTAGAGTAGTTGATTTTGCAATCGGTCAACTCTTGTTGAATTATTCAACATTGAATATACCACCCAGTGAAGATCAAAGATATTACTCAGTAATAAAGGGTCAATAAGACTAGCCTCATTAACCATTACTCCATGTCGAGATACTATTTTCCATTAAGCTTTATTTCTCTTAAAGAATCCCAATATATCTTTATTCTTCTCACTACTCTTTGAACATGTCAACAAGTTTGGCTGCAGACGAATTGGAATCAATACAGTTCTTTTGTGCTACTTTTAGAACAAACAAAACTCCGACAAGTAAAAACAATCAATAATAAAAAAAACAAAAATGAAAAACCTTTTTGGAGAGTTCCATGAAGAATACTTTAGCCAACCCTTGAATCTTTTCATCTTCATCAATGATGCAAGTGGCCATCTCACTGATCTGACCCTTCACTTTGACCATATCGTTAAGTATAAGGTGGGACAAGACAGATACTGTGCTCCTACGGACCAAAGAGGATGGGTCTCTCAACCTGAATAAAATAAGAGTATTTTCATATAAATATTCAAAGTAAACAAGTGCTTATCAAGCCATTGCAAAAAAAATAAAAAGACTTAATAATAGAAATAATGAAAAGCAATGGTTAAACTTACCTTGAATACATGTGGGCAGTCCAGGGCTCAATTTGATTAGGGTAGAGGAAAGCAAGGTCACCCAGGGCAATAATGGTATTAGAGCGAATTTTAGGCAGACTGGATTTTTCTAAAATTGTGAACAACAATTGCAAATTGTCGTCACAAAATTCTGAGCTATAAAAAAAGAAGGAAAAAGTTTAATAATGTAAATAAAGATGTGTTTATAGGGTAATTTAGCTTAACAAAAACTTTAGAATTCAAAATCTATAGATAAAAAAAAAAAAAAAAAACCCAAAAAAACAGAAATTTGTAAAATATATATTTTTTTTTAAATTGTAAAAAGAGGAACCAGATCTAAATGCCATTAAACATTGCAGAGTAATTTTGACTTTTTGTTTCCAACTATCATTCTGTTCAAAGCAATTGCAAACCATGAATTTGCACAAAAGAATGTGTGGGTAGTGTGACAGTTATCAGCATGAAAAGTGAAATAAGGGAGCAAAGTTCAAATATCAATTCCTTATGGGTCATTTCATGCTGAAATTAAATTTTCTTGAGAGCATTAATTTTTTTTTCTTCAAAAATGTACTGCTGGCAATTTTTTTTTTTTCTTTAAAAAAAAAAAAAAAAAAAAAATTCATGAAAATACCTTGCTGGCTCTTCAACTACAAAAATGTATTTTTATACTTTTATAGCGTTTTGACCCATTTGAGGGTTCACTATTTGCCCATAGCTGGGACCCCTAACAGGTTCTACCCCCCTGGGTTACGCCGGACCTGAGAACAGCAATTAAGAAGTGGCTCCACACTCCTCAAAACCTCCCAATCAGAAGCTTTGCTGCCAGATGTAGTTTATTGTCATACCCAGGAGTTCAAATTCTGGGCTATTCTGTTACGTTCACTTTCACTCTAATGCCATTGAGAAAAGGCATGAATCCATCTTCTTCCTCCCAGTTATGGGTTAACTAGCAAAGCAACCAATCTAAGGGAAAGAAATCTATAAATTCTATACCATAGGATAGCAAACCACTATCAAGAATGCATGTCAATTCACAGACAATAAAGAAAAAGAATCTGTGGGGGACCATAACATCAACACCCTGGAGGGACAAGGTATTAAAAAGTAATCCTCAGAATCTGTAATCAAAAGTTGAAAGTCTCACTTACCTGAGCAACATGAGTTTAGAAAGAGCCAAACAAGCAGCAGTGCGAAGATCAGGATCAGAATATTTGGATTGTTTCCGACACACGTCTACAATCAGAGGAGCTACCAAGGCAAGGAAGGTATCACCTTCAAGAAAATGGCATTGGATATTAAAAAGGAAAGCAAGATTCACAAGAAGAAAAGCAACAACAAAAAATATCACTGACCTAAAAAAAAAAAAAAAAAAAAAAAAAAAAAAATTGATGAAATTTTAAAATACTGATCACACCCATAGTCTGAATATAAAGTTTCAAAATCCAAAGAATGTAAAAAAAAACTAAAAGAAAAGGTTTTGGGTCAATAATAATTGATCCTCACATCAAAAAACATTTTGGCTTATGATTTTAACCAACATTTGGAATTAATCTAAAATTTAAACACATTAATTAGGCTAATTAGAGGGAATTGCACTTTACCTATATACTTTGCATCACTCACAAAAAGAACAAAAAAAACAAAATAAACAATGAAAAATAAATGTAGATAAGAGCAAAGCAAAAACTAATTGTTATTGTAGGATTCTTACCAAGAAACTAGACTTAAATTTGAACATTATGTAAATGGATTTTCATATACAAAAGGAAAGTTTCAGAAATTTAGCTGTTATTGTCCAGGTGAAACATAAAATAAACTTACCAACAAGGACTTCTTTTTCACAAACTTTGCGTATATGCTCAGCTTCATCATCCTCAGCTGATGCTCCAACCAAACCAAGTTCCTCCTCAATTGTAGCAGCAGTCGAGTTCTGAAGAGAACAAGGGAAAATAAAGTTTATCAATATTAAAAGAAGAAAAAAAAAAGAAGAAAAAAAAAAAGAAGAAAAAAAAAAAAAAAAAAAAAAAAAAAAAAAAAAAAAAAAAAAAAAAAAAAAAAAAAAAAGAAAAAAAAAAAAGAAGAAAAAAAAAGAAAAAAAAAAAGAAGAAAAAAAAAAAAAAAAAAAAGAAAAAAAAAAAAAAAAAAAAAAAAAAAAAAAAAAAAAAAAAAAAAGAAAAAAAAAAGAAGGAAAAAAAAGAAGGAAAAAAAAAAAGAAGAAAAAAAAAAAAGAAAAAAAGTAAGTTTGTGCAAGTTTTAAACAGTAACACATTACAATAACATTCAGTGTGGTAATAGAGACCAGTGTAATGCCATACAGATGTACACACATTTAAATCCATGCAATCAGATCATGGTTCACTATGGCCATTTTGGAGAATTGCTGTGCATGTTGAATGTGATGCATTGGTGATGCTTCAATGTTGGCAAAAGTAGCCAAATGAACATTCCTAGAATTGTAGGCCAGATTCTGGAGGGCCATATATTACAGATGCTTGCCAAGATCAACAAATTATAAATAATTCACCAGTGACATTCTTCTGTTACAACAGTACAAAAACTGTATTGTCTTACTTTCCCATTTGTCCTTTTTTTTTAGTTTAGATACTTTTTAAACTGTTCATCATTTTTGACCACTTCTGGTTAGACCTTAGTGTGTCACTGGAAACCCTGACAATAAAAGCATAACACCAAGTACATGGTCGATAGTTTCATCCTCCTAATCTCACCCACAACATTACCATCACCAGTTTGTAACTTTTAGTACTTTTTTTTCCCTATATTTGCCTGTTTTATTATCACATCATTATTTGAACATTTGTTTTATGTAGCCATATTTCATATATTTATATCTCTGTGTAGAATCCTTTTTAACATGTGTCCACTGTCTCAAAGACTGTTGCAAAATGTAATCTTCTTGTAACTTCCTTTTCCACAAATTCTCCACAACATTGAAATGTATTCTTGTAGCAAACTTTATACATATTCAAGTAAACAAAATATTTGCTTCATTTCTTTACCCATTTATACAAATGGTCTTACTTATATATTCAGACTTTGGTTGCTTTTGTCATATTTCTTGTTACCCTTTGTTTGTTTGTATTTTCAAACTACTAGTCTCATTTATATGTATTTATTTCTTTTTTCTAGTTTTATCCTTTTGGCTGCTGATGAATGGGACTTCATCCTCAGACTCTTAATTGACTTAAAGAATTTATCTGGCTGTGTTCAAGATTAAACATGCATATGACATGGACACATACTTTCAAGGTGGAGGGACATAACAGACAGATTGCACAGAGTATTCACAGCACAGATCAGAACAAATGTGTCGGCAAGAGTGTCAACATGGGCTGTTAACAATCATTTACATGCAGCAGGACTATGTGCAGAGCAGCTTCTGGCCAGAATTCCATTTAAACCCCAGCATTGTCAAGTACTTTCTCTAGTGGTATTGCAAGAAGGTCACTTGAAAGATCGAAGGGCATTTTGTCATATTCAGTGAAAGGAGCAAGTTCTGAAGGCCTGGAGAACAACATTGTCCAGAGTGTATATTTGCCCCGAGTACACAGGATCAACCAATGTTGTCATTGTGTGTGGATGTCATAGATTACAATGTATTAATATGAAGAATTAGTATTGTTAATACATCCCTTCATATGGAACCTGTCCACATACGGATTTGTATATGATCATTATATTGGAATCCAGCTATATTACTGTAACAGGATCCATTGAAAGTTAGAGAGTTGTGTCCCTTTAATTTTAATATTGGAAATGCCAAGATGATGTAATGAACCTAAGTTGTATCAACATGTGAGGCAGAGTGAATTTACAAAATATATCAATTACTTTTCTGTTTAATTTTGAATAAATTGAAACCTATTCTGAGCATAACAATTTTATTCTCAGTGTCTATGAACATAGAAAACATTACAAACAAATTGATAAAACGATACTCATACTGTTTACAATGAGATTAACATAAATTTAAAGTCCCTGCTACCCAATATATTTGTGTGTGTGTGTGTGTGTGTGTGTGTGTGTGTGTGTGTGTGTGTGTTCGCACACGTCCATGCATATGTTACACACACACAAAAACGGATACTGAAAGTGTTCAATCTAACTGACTTCCTAATATCTGACCAGATGACCAAACATCAAAATTGTTTTGGAGGGCTTTTTGGTCAAGCAGAGAACTTTTCAGCACCTTATATATTTTGTATACCTCTGCAATCAAAATGCATTATTTCCATATTTATTTTCTTCTGCAGTTCATTTTAAAGTTCTCGACAAAACTCTTGCCCAAAGTGAAAAATTAAAGTTTAAATGAGATGAAGAAACATAACGATGGCTGTGAACTTCATTATTAACTCCAAGATATAACACATTCATTTTTCAAAAAAGAGCACATTGTTTTAAAACAACAGAAAGATGCAGGAATAAAAAGAGAGAAGAAAGCAAGCTCACCAAGGTACGATCACCACCCTTTTTATTTTTTGTCTTTCCTTTCTCAATGACAGCAGCACGTCGTTTCAGCTCAGATAAGATATCCTTTTCGAGATACTCAAACTGTCTGTGAGCAATGTTGCCAATCAAAGAAACAAAACGAGTTAACAAACCACCACAATCCCCCAGCTCGGATTCACCTTTTGGAAAGAGAAAACAAAAAACACATTCTAAATAACATTGTATAAATTGACTTAAAGCAGTCAGCTATAAAAAAATAAAAATAAAAAAAAATAAAATCAATTACAAATTTCATATATTCAGTAATTCAAAAAAAGGAAAAAAAAAATTTAAATTTCATTTATAAGGTAAAAAAAAAAAAAAGATTTATATTATTAAATATGTTCTTATATTCAACTGTTTACTGCTATCTTCATAAGTACATTCTTCCAAATATTCTCTTTACATTTTTGAGCTTAGAAATACTCAAACTGCCTTTGGACCTATCTGATCATTTACACTACCTTCTCTATAAACTGCATGAATCTTTTTCTGCATTTGTATTTTATCTTTCTTAATAATAATAAAAAAAAAACATATGTGAAAAAAATATCTTCCCTGTACAATAAATAATGAAAAATACAGATTTTGACAAAAGTTTTCCATATGCAGATTTATGACAGCTGTCACAATATAATGACGTCAAAATTAAATATTCCTAATGCCATTATGCGGGAGCAAAAACAAACTTTTTGGCCAATCTAATATAGAAAGCATGCATTGAATGAAAAAAAAAAAAAAAAAAAAGAAATAATGAAACAATGCTTTAATTCAGTGCATGAATATTTAGATAAAGCAAAGAAAAGAAAAATTATTTAAATTGAAAATTATCAGCTTAAAGAGTTGCTTAAAATGATTTCAATTTATATAAGCAAAAAAAAAAAAAAAAAGCAATCAAGTCTAAAGATTATTACTAGACTTATTGATCATTCATCACCGTTTATCCTTTCAAAAAATGATTCATCTCATCTATCTATATATAACATTCTGTGACTTCCATGAACCCGTCTGTCTGTCACACCCCATAAAATAGCCATACATTGACCAATTGAAACCAAATTTGGGGGAGAAGTGCAAACAGGTCAGAGAGGCATACAAAGTACAGTTGGTTTTACTAGGGTGAGTAGTTTAGTACAATAAATTTTCGTTCATTTTTTGAGAAAATTAAAAGATTTCTTATTTGGTAGCTTAAAAGCCGTCCTATCAGGCAGCATTTAATCTAGCTCCTGCAGAGTACTTTTGATTGGGCCTTCATCTCAATAGGTATGGAAAAGTAGACGTGATGGGCAACAATAAATTACAGAACTCAAAATTGATTGCTGCATTTAAGTATTGCATTAATATTTAAGTTTACCTTTTAAGTTCAATGATAATTCTTCTGCCACCATTTAATTTAAAGACAATTTGATGTACATAGGTCCTTATTTTCTGTACAAACAATTATTTTTATTTCATGGGTAATTTTCTAGGTATTTCCAATTTAATTTTGTTTATTTCCAAATTTATTTCCAAGTTATTAAAATTGTTATTGTCAAAAATCACATTAAAAAAAAAAAAAAAAAAAAAAATGCCGAAAACGATCGCTGTAATGAAAACTTGGGAATCCAAAATTTCAGGATTGCAAGTCTTGATCTACCTAGAATGTTTTTAATTTGCTCAAAGATTCAGTCTGATTCTAAAATGGTATGATACATTGGGCTTCAGCCTCCAAAAGTTGAAAAATTGTGACACATTGACATTCGCATTTATTATATAGATTATACAAAATACTCCCACTATATTGAAAACAAATTAATGATTAAAATAACAAATACTTATTTAATAAAAATGCAATATTATTTTTTTACATATCTTTAATTTATATTATATATATATATATATATATATATACACACACACAAACACCCAAGAATCCAGTTTTCAGTTCATGCTGCATTCACAAGAACTATAAACAAATCACAAGGCCAAACTCTTCAAAAAGTTAGAATTTAGCTCCAGAAAGAAAATTACGGATTTGCTAGTTGTATGTTGCATGCTCAAGAGTAAGAAATCCTAGGAATTTATTCTTTGCTGTTAAAAAGGAAAAAAAAAAAAAAAAAATATTCTTAAAAAATATTGTTTATCATGAAGTTTTATAAAATTAAAGAAATTATTAAACCACAGAGTAGGGTTTTTGTCAAAGTATTTTTCCAAATAAATCAGCTTATTCAAACAAAATTGGACAGTTTGTAAATCTTGACAAAAAATGTAGAGCAATAACTTCAATACTACACATACTGTGAGGATATCAACACTTCAGCAGGTTGCCAAAAGAGCTCTTATACAAAGAGCTATTAATAGGTAAGGATTCGTCACTAATAGTTTCTACAGAAACAAGTTTGAATAAACATTTAAACAAGACTAGTGTCAGTTTCCTGTATAACAACATTTATTTATTAAGTGTACTACACTATCAGCATTTTTGTGCATATCAAAGTTTTCACAAATGATGTTGATAAAATTATATATATATATATATAAAGACAGAAGGAAAACAGCTGACTCATTTCGTCCTGATGGACTTTATCAAAGAAAATGTGAGGACTTTATTTTGCAACAAGCATTTATAAAGTAAATAATATTTTTTCAAAATTTTTAAATTTAAAAAGATGCTCATAAATATTCCTCAGGTTAACTGAAAAGTGTAGACAAATTATGGAGGATTCGAAGCGATATAATTTAATGTCTAATAAATGAGAGTCAGTAAATATTGTTGAATTTTTTTATGCAATTAATATTAGACATTAATAATAATAGAATAATTAGATTATTTTAGTACATTTTAGTATTAAAATAAAAATTCAACATTTACTCACTTTTGTTTACTAGACATTAAATTATGTTATTTACCATCCTCCATAATTTACCTAGACCTTTCAGTTAATCTGATGAATATTTATGAGCATCTCATAAATTTAAAATTTTTTTTTAAAATTATTATTTTTACTTTTGTTTATAAATACTTATTGTCAGAAGACAAAACATGTTGACTAAGTTTTCCTTTCAACTTTCATATTGTTCTTTTATAGATATATTTTAGTCATATCTGGAATTTTTACTCAATTGGAATACCCACACCTGATTTCCGTCCTTGAACAAAGGTTCTAGTGAGTGGTATGCACATAACCCTATCATGGGTCTTGAACATTACATTTATTTCTAAATTAGACTCCCATAAGGCAAGCAGAGGGGACAGGATCCCCGCTGTTGTCCTAAAGAAATGTGTTCCTGAGCTGGCTCCAGTTCTCTCCAAACATACTATTGCCTTGCTGCTTCCAGCCTCTTGGAAGTCCTCTATAGTTCCTGTTTTTAAGAACTCTGGAAGAAACTTATGACCTCCCCACCCCCAAACAATCGCCTTGTTAGTCTCATACAGCATTTCAGCAAAGTATTCAGGGCTTTAATCAATGTTGAAGTGGTTAAGCATCTTACTTCTCATGACCTAATCTCAGACAAACAATATGGCTTCCGTTTTGCCAAGTCTACCACTGATGACCATCTGTGAATATGTATATCAAGCTCTTCATAATAACAGCAAAGCTTAAGCTGTAGCTCTAGATATCTTGAAGCCATTTGACAGGGTTTGGCATGCTGGTCTTCTACATAAGCTCCAGGGCTACAGTATTACTGGATATTTGTTTGATTTTATCCAATCATTCCTACCAAATCATGAAATAAAAGTCATTTTGAACAGGATCATTTTTGCATCCTTTCACATGAATGCAAGTGTCCCCCAATGGCTCTATCCTGGGTCCTACACAGTTTCTGATCTTCATCAATGATCTTCCTGATGTCATCAGTTCTCAAGTAGGCATTTATGCTGATGACACTACCATTTACTTGTGTCTCAATAGCAAATCCGTCGAGTTGACAAAGGTAACCTAGTTGGTGCTCCTGAAAAGGACCTCCAATCAGTAGTTAACTGGGGGCAGGAAATGGCTTGTAAATTTTAATTCCTCCAAAACAAAACTGGTCTCATTTAACCACCATAAACAAACTTTCCTACCCACCATCAGCAAGGCTGATGCTAGACTCATGGAGAGCAACACACCGCACCTTCTTGGTCTCACATTTTCAACTGACTTGAAGTGGAACAACTACATCGAATCAATAGCTGCATCTACTGCAAGGAAAGTTGGGTCACTTTGTCATGCCAGAAGGTCTTTCTCGTCAGAGTCCATCTTGCATATTTACAAATCTACTGTTCATCTGTGCGTTGAATACTGTTGCCATATCTGGTCAGGTGCTCCTGCTGCTCATCTTGAAGTTCTTGACAAGATCCAAAAAAGGATCTGTAAATTAATTGATCATGACTTGGCATCTATTTCATTTTCACACCAACGTGACATGGCTTCCCTTTGTTTTTCCTACAAATATTTTCACGGCTACTGCTCTGATGAGCTTTTTTTTTTCCTGGTGCCCAAACTATGTGAGATTAAGTGTACTACTAGATTGGCATCTAGGTCCAACTCTTTTGCAGTTGAATTAGGTAAATGTAACCACCACTTCTACTCCAACAGTTCCTTTTCTCACACTTCCTGCCTGTGGAACTACCTTGCTTCTCTGATAACTACAATATTCAAAAATTTAAATGCAACATCAATTGCCATTTTCTATCTTCATGAACCCCATTCAGCATTTATCCTTTCCTAGTTCCCACCCATACCCAGTCTTTTGTCTCACCTTCATTCTGTGTAAAAAAAACCCTGCATACTAGTGACATTTCCACCTTGCATGGGGTGAAATGATTAAAAAAAAAAATGTTTTTTTTTTTTTTTTTTCAAATATGAAGTGTCTATTATAATAGTAATATAACTGTTAAATTAAAAGTAAATCCATTAATTCTTTAGAAACTGCTTTGTTTACCTGTTGGTATTTTGGACAGCATCTTTGCAACTTCCTTTGCCAAAGCCGCACATGTATGATCAGGACTCTCAGACAATGTATAAATCACGTTGATAGCTTTTTCACAAAATGGAATCCAGAACTTGTTTTCCAGATCTGGGAAGCCTAAAAAGAAAAGTTAAATCAAACGTTTATTAAAAGAAAAGAATTAAATTTTAGGCAAATATCTAATTAAAATTTAAGATATCTACATCAGCCCAGAAATTACCTTGCCATTTAAAGTAAAAATTACCTTTGATTTTCAAATAGATGAGTCAGGACGATTATTCTTTTAGGGAGAAAAATCCACCCGTAACACCCTTATTCCAACCACCCCTTTTATTAAATATTCAGGAAATTTCCTCTCACACTTTTAGACTTCAAGAATTCTAGAACAAAGCATTTCAAAACTAAAAAAATTTATTCACAATTACCAGTCACACATTTTATTTCAACCACCCTATTTATTTGAAACTCAAATGCTCTTAGATCAAGGACACCTTAGATTTCCTATGGATCTTCATATACTTATCCTAGTATCCAATACATTTTTTTTAAAAACAGCCTGAAACATCCTTTTTTTTTAGATGAGCATTAGCTACCACATCTTGGTCTCCTTAATCTTATTGATGGCATTTCAACAATGATTTCAACTTTAGAAAAAGTGTAAGCCACAGCGAGTTCAAATCTGGATTGTAGTGGGGCTAATAGGCCTAAGTTTGTTAAAAACTTCCAAAAAAGACAGAACGCACTCAGTCATTGAGAATTCAAACAGCCACAATGCACAATATAGACTGAATAGTAAAAGCCAGTAAGATAGGGTGTGTGCAGTAAAAGCACACCAAATGTCCAATTGGTTGCCAAATCACATCATGGCTATGCAACTGGTTCTCAAGATATTCAAAATGGCTAAATATGTTCTGGACAAACCTCATACATCATTTCAACTGGAATTGGTCTCTTTCTTTTGGATGACTAAGCAATTTCAAGACTGATTAACTAAAACAAAGGGTTTAGAAAATATGTTATTTTTTTGTACCAGTGAAGATTAACTTTACAAGTAGACCAAAGACAGGTTATATGGCCTACAAAATATGCCTAAAGCAGCCAATATGAACATTCTTTGCACTCACAATCTCACTTCTTTTCATTAAATTACATCTAATAATCTTAATAGTAAGTCAAAATATATATTAGAAGTTGAAATCATAAATTTGAGTTGAAGATTCTAAGAGAACATTTTTCCGTAACTGATTTTAAGAGTCTCTTTTTAAATGAAACTATAAATCTTTATGTTGCACAAAAGGAAAGCTATTCTCAGCACCTTGTTCTTAAATCAAAAGATTTCCTGTGAAGATTCAGCAAGTGCAATAAGTAATTAGAGCAATCAAAAAAAGAAAAAAAGACAAACATGATGTACCTTTGAGGAGCAATTCTTGAAGTCTTGCAAATAAATCATGATCTTGTTCCAATCGGTAAGGTCTAGGGGCTACGTCGCCAATTTTCTGAGCGAGCACAAGAAATGAAAGAAATTTAAAAAACAATGAAATAAGGATTTCATCAAGTAAACAAAGGAGAGGAAGAAAAAAAAAAAAAAAAAAGCTACTATATTAAATCAAATATTTTCATATTATTTTGAGAGACTCCATCAAAATATCTACTGACCTTCTTGTTTATTCCAATTTTTAAAAGTGCCAAACAGGTGTCACGGGCCAGTTTAAAGTCATTTTCACTTCGAGGTCCCAAACCTTCAGCAATAAGCACAGAAATGTTGCTCTTTATGATTTCAGTGTCAGCTCTGAAAAACAAAAATATTTTCATGTGCATATGTAGTGATAGAAAAATAAATAGAAATAAACAAATAAAAAACAAGGAGACCAAAACTGTACCATCTCTAAATATAAATGTATACTCAGAATCACTAGGCCATGAAGTCATGGTTCGACCAACTAATCAGAAACCATCCCAACCAGGATATGATCATCATAGTCTAGCAAGTGAATCAGAAACAAGATCAGTTTTACAACAGGGATATAAAAATCAATCAGAAGCAAAGTGGCAATTTCAAAGTTGATCTCAAAAAATGAAAAATTCAACCTAAATTAGAAGTGAATTCATTTTATCAATTCCCCGATGCCATAGTCACCATAATATACCCAGAGCCAAAATACGACACATGCGTGACCAACAGTCTAACGTAGACTCATACAATACCAACCTCCTACTACCATTATTGACTATGATATCCAGTCCTGCATTGACACTAAAACATACATACTTCCTTAACATACATTTTAAGCAAGACAACTACCACATTTGAATACATACATATGTATATACATTTTCCAAACTCACTCTCATATACACCAAGACTTTTACATTTCAACTCTTGACTGTCCAAATTATCACTATCCTTCTGTACACACACACACACACATTAATGTGTGTGTGTTATATAAAAATGTATATATATTTTGTATATATTAACTCTGTGAATTTTCTTTCAGTCTTTTTTTACACAAGGCCATATAAATGTGGAAACCTGTTAAAAAATAATTCAATAGATTTAAGTAACATCAGTAAAAATCTCAATTCTGTGCAAAAACAAGATAACACAGAAGTTGAGGATTTTTTGTTCAAAAAAATTGGCTCCTGATTTGAATTTCCACGTTCGTATTTATTAACCAATCAGCAATGTTTTCACAACAGTGCTGAAGACCTTTAAAATTTCAGACAACTAGATGTTCTCTGCTACGAAATTTTTGTATTTTTCCCTCCTAAAAATAGATATTTAAAATTGGGAAAAATATTTATTAACAAATAAACTTCTGAGTCTAGTAAAAATCAGACAGATCCCTGGAGTAATTTTTTTTTTTTTTTTGTATAAATACGATTGCATAAATTAACAATGTTAGTCTTCTGTTTTTCTGTAAGCCTTTGACCAGGGTCAGTTGTTTGTTGTTGTGGACAGGCTGAATTCTCAAAATCTTTTATATAATTACTCAACATTTTACATATTTTATTTGAGTAACTTCTTACAAAACCTAGTGATTTTGAAGTAAATTAAGCACATTTGAAACATACAGAGTTTTGTAAACAAAATGTTAATAGAAGCTATAATACAGTTTTCCTGTTTGCTGACTACTAGAAAATTACACACATTCAAAAAACAATGTAAATATGTGGCACTCTCCTATCATACTAACAATTGATTCAGTTGTATTGTAAAGAAAGAAAAGCAAAATATTTTTCTGAGAATCTGTTTCACAAGGATCTTTGTAATTAGCTTTTTTTTTAAATTTTAAAGAAAGAAAAAAAAAAAAAAAAAAAAAAACACCTAATAATATTCATTTAAATTTAGAGCCATGGTTGAAGATTACTTATTTCTTTGCTTTCACATGCTTTTTCCTCTACATAGATATATGGTGGGAATGGACGTTGTCCTGATAACCTTTGCCAACCCACCATACATACAGGCATCACACACAAGAAATTTCCCGAATGGGTATAAAATCTATATCCATAATCCACAAACATTCAAGCTGTCACCCCCCTTGGTTTCTAGGCCACATCCCTAGCACTCCCCTCACCCCCAGCCATTTGAAAACACTTCTTTCTTGGTATCATATTTACTGCAATAACTCATCTAAACACTGTAAACATGCATTTCAGCATTTCTTAGATGGTATTAGGTAAGACATTGCCTGACAAACATCCATAATTATATCGCCACACCTACAAACCTAGAAGAAATATTTAATCTAGCTGATCTGTGCTATATACTGTCTAGATAATGTCAACAAGATACAAACTTTTGGACTTTTAACTTCAGACAACATAATGAAATAAAACCATGCATTTGTGCATAACTCTTATGTTAATCATATTCTTTGTAAAGTATAAATGTTCTTTAAGTGGTATATTTTTTCATATATACATTTCGTAAAAAAAAAAGAACAAACAAAAATAGTTATAATGCCATTCTGCCGCCCCCACTATCACACGTTTTTACAAACTACTTTTTTTTTTTCCCTAAAAAGCAACTCACACAATTTCAAATCTATCTGTGAATTCTTATCTTAGGTAATAAGTAATTGCTGAATTGTTACATAATATCAATCTTTAGTAAACTGAAAATTAAGAGGCAACAGAAATGGTGTTCTACAGAAGGATGCTAAGAATGAGGAAGGAGGACCTGGAGAATTTGACACTCACATGACATCATGTGTGCAAGAGTGACAGGGAAAGCAGGGAGCCATCTAACAAGCTTGAGTAAATGGTTTGTAGAATTTGGGGGACACAAATGTTGCCAAGAGCTACAAGAGATAGGAAGTTGTGGAGAGCTATGATCACCCATGTCCTAAAAAGACACAGCACATAGAAAAAGAATGACTTTTAAATAGATTGAAAAAGATGTCTTCTTACCCAGCAGCCATGGTAAGGAGGATGAGTGCATATCTGCTTTCTTCAGGGGTCGTATTAGGCACTTTCATGGTGAATCTTTCCCACAGCATTTGAATAACAGATGAATGCACCTCTCCAGATGACATCAACTGGCACATCTGTTTTTTATAAGAACAACCAGCAGTTATTTAGAAAATCACTCACAAAATACAAATAGAATCATTATTCACATTTATACAAGTTTAACACTGAACCAATATTTCCTTCTGCTTTGCCAACAGTGGAATAAAACATTAACATTTTAGAAAAAGTTTAATTAGGCCAGCATCTTGTAATGCTAAACAGAAAGCTAAAAGGAGTCAGATAACTTCAAAGAATAATAGAGGCATAAAAAAAAAAAAAAAAAAAAAAAACAACATGAATTTAAGTTTATTTTTCATAAAATAGCAGAATATAAAAATAATTAAAAAAAAATATATATTTAAAAACTACTGTGCAAAAACATAATATTAAGAAATTAAAAAAAATATCAATTTCATATATACTATCATTTTTGACAACATGAATAAACTAGTATACACATGAGTTGCCAGATCGGACTACAAGTAACAAATCTGGTGACATTTGAAAGCTGAGTGATAGTAAATTTAATCTCATTAGTTTAGGTTATCCAAGATAATTTAAAAGTAGTAAAGAAAAAAAAAAAAAAAGGTCACAAGTAACAAAATTTAGGAGTGCTGGCCTTTTGAAAGAAGGCCAATATAGCAACCTTGACCCAAAGTTTGGGGAATTTAAACAGGGCAATTTAAACAGAACAAACATTTGCCACTATTCTTTTTGAGCCAATATATAAATGTCACATCACAAATGCACTTGGTTAAGTTCTACTTTCAATTTAACAACACAGATTAACTATTTATTCAGCAAACCTACTCGAGAACCCAGACTCACATCAACTGATAAGTTTTCTCAGCTGAAAATCAGCCACACTGTCTTCACAACCAGTTATGACCATCAAAATTTCAGATCAAAATTCTAACATTTAGCAATTCTTCTTTTAATGACGTTTTAAGTTTCTTCAAATTTTTAAAGACGACTACTGCATAAGTTACCAATAAATTCAACTCAGCTTATTTATTGATGATGCAAACCTTCATTTTTGTTCTGCACCATGTTGCCAGTCAGATCTACAATTAAGTCATCATTTATAGTTTTGTCAGAATATTAGAGATGAGGAATTATGATTATTATATTCAGACCAGCATTCACATTTTAGACATGATACCTTCCAGCCGTCTTCAGGTGGCGATATTTGTACACCACCCAAGTCAAGACACATACAGTCCCATCACTTGACTACAGGCCTTAAAATTTCAACAATAGATTGTCCAAGAGACTCCTGGACTAGTAGATTAAACTGCTGGTTTTGCATTGCATTTCCTGGCAGTGTTAAAGTATTAAAGTCTGGTTCAGTGAAAAGATTGGTGAGTAATGATATGAAATATCCCCATAGCATGAAAAACAGAATGAAAACTATCTCCTCCCCGATGCATTGAATAAAAGATTTAATTCCAAATTCCAAGAAGGTTGCCAATTAGGCCAGGTAAGCATAGCAAAGCATAATCTTCTATACAAAATGGTTAGAAAATAATCCCAAAATCCAAAACAAAATCATACAAATCTTACCATTCTGTCCATAGATATAAATTCTTCCAGTGAGGCATTGTGAATCAAAGCTGTCAGGTTGGTTATGATTTTCAAAGCTTTACTTCTGGAAAAATGAATTTAAAAAGAGTAATGAAGTATTAATTTAAAAAGAAAAAAAATTCCAGTTGTTTAAAATCAAATCAATGTGACATTCAAATTTGTCAATCTAAAAAAACAAAAACATTCTTGGTCAAAATTCAAGGAAGTTCACCCTTTTATATCTAAATTTTTCCATGTTTATCAGATGGAGAATTTTTAAACATTTATATTTCACTTTATAAGGAAGAGGAATAAAAATCAAATCAGCTTTAAGATTCAATCATCTAATTTGATAATTGAACAGAAAATTAAGACAGGCATTCTCAATTATCTCTGGACAAACACATTTTGATGGTTGACATTTTGTTTTCAAATTATAGCTCAGGCAAAGGACAAAAACTAGTTTTTTTTTTTGTTTTTTTTAATCTTAGTTTTTACTGTCAAGCTTCTCTAGTATCAGTTTTATTTCAAGATTGTGTTTTCCTTTTTTTTTAAAAACATGACATTCTAGTGAGATACATTCTTTATTATTATTATTTTTTAATTATTCCACATCAAGCAAGGGAATAAAGTCACTACGACATGAGGGGGTTACTGAGTGTGAAAGAATAAGAAAAAGAAAAACATTAAGGACAAAGAATAATAAAAGAAGAGGAATCGAGAAGACAGTAGATATCGGTCAAAATTGACTCAAAAGCAAGAAACTGGAAGAGAATTTCATAGGCAATAAAGGAAACTTACAGTTCAATTCAACTGTAAACTGATGAGACCTTGTTGCCAATCTTGTTGTACTAAGCTTAAATTTATCAAGTCTAGGTATGATAGAGGAAAGTTCATCAGAACAATTACCATGAAAATATTTATAGAAAAGGCACAGGGAATTAAATTACATCAATGGGAAAGTGACTGAAGCCAGATCAGAAATAATAACATCACAGATTATTCTTTGGATTTTATCAAGAATATGTAGCAAGTGCACCAGACCACATGTGGCAGCAATATTCAATGCATGGATGTAGACAATTTTTTTTAATATATTTATATGATAAATTCTCGCAAGAAAAATTGTCTAACAAGACACAGTGAACTCGCCTTCCTAGCAGCAAACCTAGCAATTGATTCAATATAATCTTTCCACAACAAAACCTGAGAAAGCACAACAAATCACTCTCCTGGAGGTTAGCATCAGCCATACTGATGATGTAAAGCAGAAAGAGGTCTCTCACATGATTAATAGAGTGATTTTGTTTTAGTGAGGTATTAAAATTAACAAGCCATTCTTTGTTCCAGTTGACAGCAGATTTTAGGTCATTTTTGAGATCAGCTGCCAATTTGAACTTATCAAACCAACTGAACTTACTATCAAAACAAGTGTAAATAGTTGGGTCATCAGCATAAATATCTGGTTGAGAATTGAAGCCATCAAAAAGATCATTGATGAAAATTAGAAACATAAAAATAGAGCCCTGGGGGAGGGGATAGCTGCATTAATACATAAAGATCTAGAAGAGTGGCCATGCAAGATAACTTTCATTTTGTCATTTGATAACAATTGAATCAGTTTAAAAATTCATCTACATATACCATAAACTTTCAACCTATGAAGAAAACCAAAATGCTATTATTTTATTATTAATGTTACTTTGTCAAATCATTACAGTTTTATCCCAATACTGAATCAATAAAATTCTCAACCATGAAACTGTAAAAATTAGAAATAAAGAAATAACAAAATAGTCAAAGTGGTCAAGGCAACACATATAATTTTTCAGTCAACACTTATCAAAGATGATCATTTGTAATAGCATTTTAGCATCTGATAGTCATGACTTCTGTCAATGATTCTCTTTGACAAATGCTAACTGAAAACAGATGACTTCAATTTTCTAAGGAAATTTTCAATACTCTGCCTCTTCCTGCTTTATTTATGCTTTGTCCTCCCAAAAGATTTATTTAAATAGATAGAAAATATACAAACCTTTGATTTCCACCTTTGGGGTCAAGGTAAATACGTTTGTAGGCAGTCACAGCAGCTTCTTTTATAGCAGCATCCTTTGCAGAGTAAAGCAGCAACAGAATTTGACGTATTCCCTTTAAAGCATCTGACAGGCCAAATTCAAACATGATTACAAAGAACTCAATGGCTTCTAGAACATCACTGTTGAGTTTAGAACGAAGCATTTTGCACATAAGAGGAATGGCTTGCTTTAGCTGAGAACTAAATGTCAGGGAATCCTATTAAAAAAAACAAAATTATAAACAAAAAATTAACACTTGTTAAAATAGCACAATTATTAAATATTTTTAAGGTTTTACTTTTATTTTAACTTTTCAAACACTTTATTATAAGCCAATAATTCTACATCAGTGAATAGACAGTTCAGGCTTGGAAAGAAGTCTCTCAATGAGATTCAAACTCTTGTCCCTTTTTGCCCCAGGGAAGCCATGTAAACTCTCAACTGCTTTTACACTAAACTACAAGGTGAAGGATTTGCAGAACAAATCTTATGTATTACTCATTGTTACTGCTCCAGAGGCTTTTCTTCTGGTAAAGACAACTTTAAGAATAGACTGATGCTTGAAAAGTTAATTTATTTCAGTCTCTACAAATGTCATGAAATACTGAAAAAAAAACAAAGGCTTCATGTTTGCTAATACAAAATAATTATCCAGAATAGCATAGTAATTCAAAGGCAACTGATGTGCCCCAACCTACCTTGCGTGTCACCTAACCAGAATTCAAGACTTCCAGCTAAGCTTCTTTTCTAAAGCAAGACAGCAGAATTGGTCTAAGACCTGCTAGGCTTTTTTTTCCAAGCAAGAATACAACACTGGATTTTTGAAACATATGGCAGTTAACCACATGACCAGTGCTAATTGAATTATAGGATCCCTATAAGTACTTAACCCCCTTGCACCAGCCCCAAGACAACTACACTCACTCTCCTATTAAATGACTTCTCTTGGCACCATATTTATTTTTACATTTGTAGCTATTATCAAAGATGTGCAGTGAGGCGTAATGACTAACGGCTTGCAATTAGAAATTGGAAAGCAGAGTTCAAATTTCAATCAAGTTTGTTACATTTACTTACATATAAATACCCTTGGAAAAGGTATGAATCCTTTTATTCTTCCAACAGCTATAGGCTGACTAGCAGAACAGACTGGGTCTTGTAACCTTGGTAGCCTAACTGCAGGAAAATCTTCTGCTCAGTAAGTCATGAACTGAGGGAGATATGATCACCCAAGTGTGTATTACACATGGCACCGAGTTATTAATAGCAGCCGTATTATTTCAGTTCATAATCACGTGAAACACTCAATAATAACCATTAAATTTTGACTTATCTACTTTCTAATTTTTGTTTTTTCAATTGATGCTGCTACTCACTACTAGAGAATTGACAGCCCAAAAAAAGGTACTATAAAAAAACAAAATTTAAAAAAAAAACCATCAACATTAATACAAATGGTTGATGGTTTCATCTAATAACAAATAAAAAAATAATATCTAACAAGAACAAAATAGTTTTCAGGATTATGACTTCAAGTTTCAAGGGATGTTTAGAGTTATTTTAGTGAAAAGAAGAAAAAAAAAGATTAAGCCAAACTTACCTTCAAATACATGACAAGAACTTGTTGCTTTTTTAGTTCAAATGTCTGTTCAGTTTCAGTCTGAGCAACAGGGCAGACAATTTGCAAGTCAACTTTCTTGGTTTCTATACAAAAAAAAAAATATTATGACAATGAAACACCAAACTAATGTTTATTAAACTTGTGATATCAGAGGTGGGATGTATTAAACAAATACATCCAAACTTTCATTCACTCTAATAGTTACAAATATAATGATAGAACAAATACTGAAAGGAGAATAAAAAGTAAAACAATATTTACAGCTAGTTACCATTGGGTGCATTTGAAGTTAGTGTAGTAAGTCCCAATAAAATATATAAAACAAAAATAAAATAAGGCATTTGTACTTCCCTTTAAAAAACTTATTTCTTTCTTTCTCTCCCTATACTTCTCTCTCAACTAACAAGAAGCCAACTCTCAAATAAAAAGAGGAAGAAGAAGAAAAACTCAACCCAGCCAAAAATGCTGGAAGTTTATGGGAACATAGCCGCTACTAATTTATGACTGAAAACTAATAAAAATCAAGGAGGCTCCATGCATAACTTCCATTATAAAGAAAAAAAGGACATAAAACAAAGTGAAGCAAGGGATATATGCAAATATAAAATATATTTGCCCCTTGCTCCACTTTGTTTTATGTCCTATGTTTCCAATAAAATACATCAACAATATTCCAAAGTTTTCAGTAAAGGAAATCCTACCCGTTTTCTAACACTAATATAAACAAGTGAAAATTTGGCTTATCAATGTGCACTGACTTTACCATTATTCCAGTGTTTTTGTTATTTTCTACATTAACAAAATATTTCTGAATGTAGGGGTTGGTGGGGAAGGAAAAAAAAAAAAAAACTATGAAGTATCAAATTTAGAAAATTTGATTAACTAAAATTTGTTTTAGCAACAGTCAATGCTTAATTTGTATGCTATACCTGGAAAATGACAAAGTAAGTAGCAATTTTCCAAGTGTAGCTTAGATGTGGCACAAGGCTGAAAGTAGGGAGCACCCAGTGAGGATCGAAATCACTAGTCATAATTGTTCTAGCGAGACAAGTTTGCTAATCATTACACCGCCTTGAGGTGCTCAAGTGAGAAAAAAAAGTAGTGAAGAATTAACGTGAGCATTAATGGAATAGTAAATCTATTCTGTATATAGTGTAAATGCATTGGAAAAAACAGGGAGGGATTGTCAATGTTCAGGAATTAGGGCAAGCGTTACTAACAAAACATGGCAGTTAAATGATTTAATATAGACTAGGTCAAGGGCAAATATTAGACTTAAAATCAAGGAAACAAAAAAAAAAAAAAAAAAAAAAACTCCGTTTAAGTTAGCAAACAACATAAATCTTGACAAGTTCTTAAAAATCTTGCTTAAAACAATTCTTCTTGGTCAAGTAGATGAGCAAAGAATAAAAACAAAACAATTTCTGTAGATATTATGCAAGGCAGATATGAAACCCCCACCCAAATAATCAATACTTCTGATTAAATTATGAACCTTACACCCTATGCCTAAACTATTGAGCTACATAATACAAAATAATAAATAAACTATGTATACAAAAATCATTTATAGATACTATTTATAAACTATGTAAAAAGATATGAAACAGCAAAAACGTTTTCCTAAAGAGTTAAAAATACCAGATATTTAGAGAAAGAAATCCATTCAACTCACCAATAAAAATTGTTTTAAACTGTTTAATAACCTCAGTTACATCCTCAGTAGAGTCTTCTTCCTCTGAACTGTTGTGGAGTTAAAACAAAAACGTTTCATATTAAAACAAAACTTATGGTCAGCCATAATAAATCTAAATGGTTCACCTCTACAAAAAAAAAAAAAAAAAAAATCACATTGTACATTTTTTTTTTTTAAATATATTTCTTAAAATGTCCTGGTTATATTTCCATTATCAGTACAAGACAAGATTTACCAAATAAACTGATGTGAAAAAGCAACCTTTCACTACAAAGTTATGACTCCACTATCTTCAGGTAATTTTTTTTTTTTTACTTAAATGACTTCTGCATATCAAATGATAAAATCTACAGTTTATAGATTTTATGGTGTGTTTTCTCCCCAGTTTATAATTTGATATGTTCTAAAATAAGTAAATAGAAATTCACACACACAAAATAATTAACTGAAATGAAAGTGTTTATTCCGAGGTTTGTTATATCCATGGATATAAGAAGTCAAACAATGTTTTCATTCACATTTTGGCAGTCAACAAATGTGCAAATTCATTGATCATCAAGAGTATCCAAATCTCTCAATCATTCTCCTCATTCACAGTAAAGCGTAGCTACACTTCATATCAGGGTTTCAAAAAAATACTTTTCAAATCATTTTTGCCTCTTAAAGTTCTGCATAGCAGACATATGTAAAACTTGATCCATTCTAAACTATTTCAATGCATCATAAAACTATACCCCAATGTCAGTTACTTCCACCCCCATCTTATATTGTGAGTTGCGTAACAAATTCTATGCATTGATATTTAACAAGTTAATACTTATAATTGGTTTTCCATTTGCATTTTGTCTCTGCATCTTTTAATTGCTATTAAGTATATTTTGTTACCTAAATGTCTATCTGCCTTTTATTTGTTTCTTTATGTGTTTTACTATATTTCATAAATTAACTGATAAGTTTCAATTTCATATACACACACACTTTACCAAAAAACATGAAAACACCTTACATCAAATATATGACACAGCCTAAAACAAAGTGAGGTTTATGGCCACATCACATTCAAATACGGATCCCCATACGATGACTAAAGTTAAACAAGTTCAACTAGATGGGTAACTACATGGGAATACCAGGTGCTGTAAGCTTGGATGTGAGAGTGGTGTAACTGATAATGGTTCAGAATTGTTAATCAGAGAGCAGAGTTTCAATTCCCATTGTGTTCATCATATTCATTTACATGCAAATACCCCTGGGAAAGATATGAATCCATTTTTCCTCTGCCAAGCTCTGGGTGAATTAGGAAGATGTATCACTAAGCCATTATCATCTCAAAAGAATTTACAATCTAAATATTTTCTGGCTTTAAATAACCTGCAAGGGGTTGATAAACCGTAGTAACAAATCAATAAAACTAACTGAACATAACAGACAAAATCTATTTGAAAAAAAAAAAAAAAAAAAAAAAAATCAAGCATGAATAACATACAATAATTTCTCAATCAAGGGAAAAAACTCTACATACCAGTTTGAGGTTGAAGCATCTGTAAAACTGAAGAGAACATTGTCGGGCCAAACCAATCTCGAAGCAGAAAGATAATGGTAACATTTCAGATATTCTTTGCTCTCTATTAATTCTACCATTAGTTTTAAGATGCTGAAATAGAAGAAGTCATTTTTTTTTTTATAGAAACAATTTAAAAAGACTGATCACAATGAGGTTTAAAAAATAAAATATCATACAAAGATCTTCTTAGGCTCAGGAAATGCAAAATACTTATGAAGAATTTCCTTTCTAAGAAACAAAATTTGCTTCCAATCTCCAAAAAATAACCAAACAAATAAATTTACAGCAAACAAAATAGCTTTCAGAATCTCATGAACTAAAGATGGATGCCAACTTACAATTTTGAAGGATTAGAAAAAGGTGAAAAAAATCTAAAGTTCAAAGATGAGAAGGCAAAAATCTGTAAAAATATCTCATAACTTGATTTTTTCACTATTAAATATCCAAAAGAGAGAGAAAAAAAAAAAAAAAAAAATTAAATTAAATTTTCAGCTGTTGTGCAAATTAGGTGAGTCAAATCAAAAATAGTCTTGAGCAAAGCAAACAATGAAAACAAAAAGTGAATTACAAGCCATTCGCTTTATGCATGCCAAAGTGTCAACACTTTCTACATAATTGCTACCGGCATTCAAACTACAATAGTTAAAATTTTTATTTATATATTGTGGTAAAAATAAATTTTTTATTCATGAGGAAATTACAACTGCAGCGGCCTGAAGGTAAATAAATTATTTTTAAATTTTAAATATGAAAACCTCCGATGGAAAAAAAAAAAAAAAAAAAAAAAATATTTACAACAATTGAAACTAGAGTTGATTATTCCACAATTTCTTGAAAGCATCTTTGCATCCACCACCCAACAAGAAAAGAAGCTATAAACAAGAATGTAACCACCAACCTCTCTGGATTATCTTCTTCACTTATGAGTCCTTCAACTTCTTTGGAATCAACCCATGGCAATTCTTTCAAAGATTCTTTCAGGTGATTTTCATGTTCAGTCCAATCCTTCTCAAGCTGTCCAAACTGAGAATCTAAGAAGTCGAAAGAAAAAAGCACAAAATTATTTTAATCAACTAAACATTAAGAAAAAAAAAATATCCAGCTTTCATAGAGGATTAAACAAGTAAAAATTTCAAATATTTGCTAAATGTTGTTAAGAAATTAGATTATTTTATGTAAATGTATTGATACCTTTTTAAATTCCATTTAAACAATGTAAAGAGAAATCTATGGAGCAATTCTATCAGCAGAAAAATGCCCATTTTAAAACTTTGCGATGTCATAAAAAAGACCTGTCAAAAGGTTGCAAAGAAGGGGGGGGGGTACCAGTCACACATGATTAATAATGAAATATCAATACATAACTCACCATCTGACTTGGTCTGCTCCTGTAACATTGCTTCAAGCTTATCATTTTCCTTGTTGTAATTGGCTTTAAGTTCTTGGAACTGTAACTAAGATAAAAATGTTAAATTATTAAACACAACGACAGCAATATTATATATAGGGTGTGATTGATAAAGTGTCAACTAATTTATGCAAAAATGAAAACAACATTGAAATCTCATTTTAAAAAGATATATTTACAAAAAATTACACAAAAATGTCTTTAAATACTAAAGAGTAAATTTATTAAAAAATAAAATAATAATCATTGGCTTCAACCACACCCTCTAGACAACTTCAGAATCTCTTGCAACTGTTCTTGACTGTCTTGTTGTTTAAGTTGGTGAATGCTGCCATAATTCTTGCCTTCAGTTCATCTTTCAAGGAGTTTTGTTAGTCTTCCGCTCAACTGCGCCCCACACATAATAATCAAGGGAATTGCAGTCTGAGGAGTTAGGTGGCCAGATGTAAGGAGTGATATGATTGCAGAAATTGTATGACAGCCATGACTGGTTTCTCCAGCAGCCACCCTCTTGACCCAGGGCAGCACTACCTCCTTAAGGCACTCAATGTAAGCCTCCGTGTTGAGTCTGACACCTTGCGAGAAGAGGAGTCATAATGTCACTATCACTAGTGATCATGCCAAACATCTTTGTAATCACCATTAGACTCATCTAACTCGTTCTAAATCCTCTGCACACTCTGAAATGTTCATATTGGAGCTTCCAGCATGAATGCCAAGTAGTAGAGCATGCAGTTTCCAAATTTTCTGGCAGAATAAATTGCATCAGTGATCTTTTTCTCACAGATAGTGCCCAAACTGACCCTACTATACTATGCAGTTGACAAAATCAAAACCAAATAACATGCATGTGAGAAATTAAAAATATAAGCTAGAACCCTAACAGGTACTACCACCCTGGGTCAGGGTGGACCTAGGAACAACAGCAATTAAGAGGTGGTTTGAAGCTCCTCAAAAGCTCCCAATCAGAGGTCTTGCTGCCAGATGTAGTTTATTGTCATACCAGGAAAACGTAATACAAGGCCCAAGAGCCACTCAAGGTAGAGGGTTACTGTGTGGTGTTGTATGAGCTTAAGAAAGAGCAAGAAGTGAAGTTCTTGGGTGGGGGGGATATACAGGAATGATAATGGTTAACCCTAGACTTTAGGTCAAGATTTAATTAGTGAATGACATTTCACATTTTAGTCAGATGTTAGGGTTATAGTGTGAAAGCCGACTTTTGAAGGAACCTGATATATCTCAGCTAGCAACATCCTACTATATCAAACTGTTAAGAACTTCTAATATTATCTTCTATATAATACAAGTCTTATGGTTATACTTTAAATCCCAGTTTTATTTATGCCAGAATTTTTGAGATGAGGAAGAAGTACCATTATCTTTACCATTCAGACAAGATTCAACTTCTACTGCAAACCTTGTAGAATTTGTGAGCTTTCAAATTAGCAGTAAAAAGTAAAGATATAAATTTCTCTACATATCTCCCTTTAGAGATGCAAGACGATTTAAACAGCCGAGATTAAAAAGAAAAGAGACCGTGAGAGATGCCTTAAAGTTTACTTACATTGGAAGCATAAGGATTTGACTGGAGGAGGGCTGTAAAAAGTTGAATGGCATAACGCCGAACATTAGCTGATTTATCATCCAAACGTCCCAGTACAAGACTAACCAAGTCTTCCTGGTAGCTCAAAGGCAAACACTGAAAGTAAACAATAGTACAAAGAGGATACTGCAAAGTTCTCTGTCTGACCCACTTAACACTCCCCCACCTCAAAAAAAAAAAAAAAAAAAAAAAAAAAAAAAAAAAAAAACATAAGTCAAAATACTAATTTTGGGAAGTGAGTTAGGTGCAGAACTTTTCAGCACCTCCTCATAAATCATGATTAAAATGAAATTGTCAGAGTTACAAGTTTAAAAAGAAATTTGTACAAATAAATACAATATAGTTAATAATTGTACAGTAGAACATTTAAAAAGGTATTTTTATTAAGTAAAAGAAACTACATAGGCATAAAACAAGGTTCCTATTTTTCAATTACATATATTAAATAAGAGAATTTAGAATTTTGACGTGTGTGTGTGTGTGTGTGTGTGTGTGTGTGTGTGTGTGTGTGTGTGTGTACTGATGGGAAATAAAGTTGCAACACCCCAAAGGAAAATTTTCCAAAGCTTTTCTGGCAAGTACATGTCAGTACAGATGCAAAAGAAGTACCAGATTGTATGCGGACACGTCTGTCAAAAGCAGTTACACCTGGGTTTTCCCCATTAGCAGAACAGCTTTGCGTGTTCAGATACAGGCCTCTCTGCAACTTGTCTAGATCCGGGTTTCTGTCAACTGTCAGCAAAAGCAGTGAGAAAACCAGGAGTGGGCATTTGACAAGACTCGGTGCTTCCTGCCTAACTTAGTATTTCACAAGTTTATTTTTCAAGCATCAGAACTTTAGCATAATGGATATGTCATTTGCCTGCTTAACTTTCAGGTCAACTGTTCAAATCAATGAAGGATTCATTTGTTAATTTTATGAAGAGTTGCTGAAAGTGATCAGCCCAATCAAGAAACCCTAAATAAAAAATTAAATTGTATGATTGGTTATTCAATTAGATTTTAGGAAGTATATCATCTGAAGACTTTTCATTACCTCTTCTGTCTATATACATTTGCTTTAATAAGACAAAAGTGATGGACAGAAGAAGAATTAGAAGTCACATGGTTTATTATTATATATGATGATAACAATACTATGAATATTTTTAAAACTTCAGTCTGTCAAACTATTCAATGGAAGAGAGATTTTCCCTTGACATTTGAGAAACCATCTGCTTACCCCTCCTCTTACAATCTGCTGCCAATTCTGTAGAACTTTACTTCTGACAAATGCATGGACATCATGGATGCACTCCTGAAAATAAACAGAAATTCTTTCAATTGAACAAATTGCAGGGTGGGGGAAGCACCTATAAAGAAATTAAATATTAACATATATTCCAGTTCTTTTGATGAGATTTAACAGAAATATTAGTGGGTATAGAGAACTAGTCAAAGAACCCGGAAGTACATCAAATAAGATATCAAGATGGAAGATGATGGTAATGACAGTAGAAGGATTCCTAAAAGCAAAATTATTTGGAACTGCTTGAAATTATATAAGTTTCATTAAAAACAACTGACAAGGTACTGAAGACAAGTTTTGCATTTAATTTTTCTTGTTGGGTTCTTGCTGTAGCGTACATACGGACAATAATGGATTATGTCCCCATTCACATAAATACAGTAGTAAATACTGTATGTTGGTCTGCAGTTAGAGATTCATCTCCAGCTGTGCTGGTCAGACTCCCTGCCTCTGGGCAGAGAGGATCCCCAGACGAGGCTATGTCAAAGGGCAGAGTCTTGTCTCGGGGAAACAGCTACCCGGCCCCATTTTATACAGTGTCTACGGGGAATTTTTGGCACATTAAATCCAGCCTTATGCCACATCTGACCGCATGGGGCAGTTGGTAGATATCCTGCAGTTGGAGATTTATTGTGAAATTCACTTGACTCACTTCTAACAGTTGATTACTTCTACGTGCCGCTGGCGAATCTTGTATGTGTTGTTCTTGTCCTAAGTATTATCGTTCATTGCCAACCTTCATTTGACTATTCTAGTCAGTAACCTTCCTTAGGTTAAAACAGTTCTTACAATTATTTTTTTCTTTTCTGGACATAAATGACATAAAAATGAAAAGTAGTCCCACATAATTTCTAATACCAAATTGAAACATGCAATAGAGTGTTGAAAAATTCTTAGCCCAAGCAAGAAAATATTTAAAAATTCTATTGTCCATTTAATCAGATTTATAGAAGTGGACTGGGTGGAGAATTCTTCACCACCCACTTGTAGGCATAATTCTTCTCAAGTAGATAAAGCCACACTTACGTCCATAACTGATTTTAACAAAAAAAAGTGTAATGGTTATTGGCACAGGAAATGAAATTGTCAAGCCAAGTTCAAATTTCATTCCGGTCCAGTTATGTTCATGTTTGCACTAATGCCTTTTGTGAATGACTTCTTCCTTCCTATGGGTTAAATAGTAGGATAGACTGGGCTCTCTAGCCTTGCTTGGCAGCCAGTTTCAGAAAAGAGTAATCTGAATTTATACCTGTGGAGAAATCAACACACAAAAAAAGTACCCCCACTATATTTCCCCAAAACAATCATGACAATGCATAGATAATGAGAAAAAAAAAAAAAAAAACCTGTGAACAGTCAGGATCATTATCTACAATATCCTGAAGGGACATAGTAAAAAAAAAAAAAAAAAAAAAAAAAAAAAAAAAGATGCAAACAATGCTGAACTATAAAAAAAAAGGAAAAAAAAATAAATAAATAAAAAATAAATAAATAAATGCTTACCTTCATAATCTCAAAGAATTGATCCCTGGTGTTTTTTAAGGTTGGTTCTAAGTCTTCCTGACTTAAAACCTGGATAACAATCTCTTTCATGATACTCAATAAACAATTTCTCATCACATAGCACTAAAATAAGAAAAACAATATTTGATAATAAATAATATCCACAAAAACCAAGTTATGATCAAGAGGTATTGCAGTAATAATTCAATATGGATCAATTGCATATCATTTTAGACATTCTCTAATATTAAACAGTTGTTAAAATAATCTGTTATACTTCACAGCAATTAGATCTTCTGATTCACTCTGCGTGTCGGCCAGATGCGAGTGTCAAGAAAGCAAAATACAAATTAAAAAAAGTTGTTTTCTGCACACAGACTCCAAGCATCATATCCAGTCCACAAAACAAATCCCCACAATAAAATTAATACAATAGCCAATCACAAACATTCCCTCTAAGAAAAAAAAAACCTGTTGTCAAACACCATGACGTTGTCCCCATCCAGTGCCAGGTCCCCCTCATCATCACCACTGTTGATAACACTTTCAATCAGAATCCAACAGACATTCTATGCTACCCACTCCCAGATGTCACCACCATGACCACATTCATCAATTGCCAATTTGATCAGAGTCTAACAGAGACTTTCCGCTCGATCAACATTCACTATCTACACCTAATCCAACACGTCTTACCACAAATCCACCCACCATCATGACCTCAAATCAACCAATCCACTATACCAAGCATAGGTGTCATTTTCAACCATGAAGACGCACACACACACACACACACACACAAACCCCAACTGCTATCCCACTCTAAACTTATCCTCTGTGACCATGGCCAACCAACCCAATAGATCAGTCAACTCTCGGCCCTACAGAAAACACCCTTACACCTAATCATTTTCCTGACCAACAGCACCTGAAGAATGACATTAACAATTTTTGCCAAATTTCAAACAACTATGTCTATATTATGTAAATTTAATGAATGCACACTGTTGAAAATTTAATCTTTCTTTGTTCCTTTCTCTTACAACCAAAAGCTCTTTATAACATTAAGACAGCACACAATTTAAGAAAAATGAAGCAATTCAAATCTCTTATCAAACATTGTTTGGACACTCTAATCTCTTCTTTGTATCTTTGCTGTTGTTCTCCCAATGTTTTGGCTGATCTACTCTTCAGCCCTCTTCAGATGTATTCCATAAGAAAATTTCTCATTCCCAGCAATTTAACGACAAAACTGTTCATTAATATACTCACCTGACAGGTATATTTTGACCTGATTACTTGGTGAACATAAATGCACAATTTCTGCGGTTGGCAAACTGCTGAAGAGAATAGGTTACTTTTTTTTTTCTTTTCCTTTTCCATGAATTACACCTGAAGACAGGCTGGAGAATGGAAAGGCCAACAGCATATCAACAAAGAGTGTTCAAATAATGTTGGATATGTTAATGACTCTACAAATTTAGAGACAGTAACAATGAAATTGTTAAAAAAAAAAACAAAAAAACAACATACATCAGTTTCTAAAGCAGGCATTAAGAAGCTGATATTCTGCAACATTACGGTCGGCAACTTGGCAGCAAGTTCAACAAGAAACAAAGTATAAGATCGAGTTCCAGAAGAATCGTTGCTAAGATCTTTAGAATCAAGACGTCCAATCTCCCTGAAAGCACAAGAAAATATCAGTTAGAATGTTTATAATTAAAAAAATTAAGAGACAGCATAAAAGGAATCAGCAATATTAAAAAAAAAAAAAAAAAGTAAAAAAAATAATCAAGTTTTAAGTTCAAATAGTCTGAATATAACATTGAACTATCTCACAAATTATTATAAGAATTCACCCCAGAGAAAAATTACAAGTCATGAAAAGAAAGAAATACTTGTAGTCTATTTTGTAAATTAACCTTTTCTCACTGAGAATTTAAGAAAAGCCCTTGTCAAATGGTGTTATTTTTTCCTATTTTCAAACGATCATAAATTGTAGAAAATGCTCCAATTATATTTTTGTGCACAATATTAAATGGGCTATTACTTGAGAAAATTCAATTTGTCAATAAGCAGGGCTTCTATTTTCAAGCAAAAATAGAATTTTTACTGTCCCAAAATTCTCAATGCACACACGAAGTTGAAAAAAAAAAAAAAAAAAAATTGATTTGGTCAGATTTTAGGAAGTGGGTATGGCTGTAAACTTTTCCATACCTCCCTTGCGTTATTGGGGACAGTCTGCCCATTGTACACAATAAAATCATTTTATGTAGAGTCCTCAAATATAGTATACAAAATTACTGAACCCAGGGGAAGGTTTCATGCCTCCTAGGGAAAGGTAGAGAGGGTCCTCACTGAAAAGTGGACAGAGTGATTGCTCAAGGGTCTATCTATGAAACTCAGAATACTGTAAGCGACTCTTATCAACTAAGTGACAAAAATATATTATATATATATTTTGAATAATTGACAGAAACAAGTTATCAGTTTTCTTATTAAAATAACACCATTGCAATCCATTTCAGTCCAAATTTTTAACTACACCTGCCATTATTGTCAATAAAGTTTTAAGTTTAGTTTTCATTGGTTTGGTTGTTTTACGGCATATCAACCTCAATGGGTTATTTAATGCAGACAAAATTTTTATTGGTGGTAATGTTTTTTTTCAAACAGCTATTGCTAGTAATAAAAAAAAAAAAAAAAAACTATTGCTGGTAAAAAATTTTTTGCCTAAAATATATTACCGATAATAATGTATTGCTGGTAATTTTTTCTTTTTTTTTTTAACAAAGTATTTCTGGTATTAAAAACCATTTTTACACTTTCATAGTGTTTTTACCCCAGTTTGGGGTTTAAATATTTGCCCATAGTTGCTACCACCTCGGGTCAGGGTGGACTTCGGAACACTAGCAATTAAGGGGCGGTTCCACACTCCTCAAAACCTCCTTGCTGTTGGACATAGTTTATCATCATACCCAGGACGGTTAGTCTTCATTGTGATCAGTGTTAGACATTTTGCTTCAACACGGATATTTTTGAGGAGATAAAAATGCAAAATAATTCAGTTCTTAATTCAAGCTTAAAGGAATTAATAGATTGTAACAAGATTGAGAAAACAAGAAAAAGTAAATGAAAGAAACCAATTTAAAAAAAAAAAAAAAAAAAAAAGACTACCCCACCCCAAACTAACCTTGTTTCCATTTCCTCATAACATGGCCTCTACTTTCCTGGCATAGACAATGAATATAAAACAAATATTTATAGACTACTCCAAGAAATTGAATTTTTTTCTCTCCTATGTACTATATTAAGTTATTAAATAATTCAAATTTGCAGTAAACCATGACTCATAGTTCTCACTGTTTAACTCAAGTGCAGTACATTTCCTAAAACAAAGGATCCAAGTAGAAGGCAAATTATAACCGAAATAACTTGATGCATATCTCTGCTACCCACCCTTCTTTAGGTTGCACGAGTGATGCACACATGGGCAATCATAGGACCCAGCTTGTCCTACAATTTAACCCATATCTGGGGGGGTCTAGAAGAGATGGATTCATACCTTTTCCAAGGCTATTTGCACATAAATGAATGTAACAAAATCAACTGGAATTTGAATTTGGCTTTCCGATTTCTCATTATCCATCACACCACCTGCACATCCAAGCTGACAGCACTTGGTGTTCCCAATCCTCCATCTAGGTACTGACCAGGCTTAAGATTGCTTAACTTCACTGATCAAACAAAAATTGCAGCTTCAACATGATGACAGTAAGCAAGTCAAAAAATACATTCACAGCTGTTAAAAAAAAAAAAAAAAAGATATTTACCTCATAATTTCAAAGACAACATTATTGACACCATATTTAGTGACCATCACTTCTACAATTCCCGTAAGAGGAAGAACTGTATGCTCAAAATGTTGCAAGAGTTGAATAATTCGCAAACTGGCACCTAGAAAGAGAAAAATAATTTTAAAAAATGGAAAAAAATATAACAAAATTTGAATTAGAACAACTTTGTAATTTATTCCAGAATTTTTGAAATGAGAATGTTGGTTCCAATCAAAACATTTTCCCCCTCCCCAAGACATAGGCAGAAGAACATGAATGTATGCTGGGATTTTTTCCTAGCCAATAGGCCAGTTCCCAGTTTCAGCCAACTCAAACTTCTTGGCATATTACTGCTGCTTAACTTTTTACAGTTAATTTACCTTGCATATATTGTTTGCTTGCTTTATATTATGTTTTGTCAATTCTGTTGGACAGTTCTATTACTTATTTTGCATTTAACCATGGCTACTCTACAGATTCAAGCTTTATTTTCTCCCAACAATGGAGAAGGAAATGTGAAAGAGAGGTGTAAAGAGGTCAATGGTCTAACAATTACAATTCTGTAGAAAAAAGAAAGCATTCTTCAGTTATCCTTACTTAAAAATAGTACATATCTGATACTAAATTGGGTGTTAATTTACTAAGTTTAGCTTAGTAAGACACTAATCTAGAAGTGTGGAATGTCTACAGCAGTGGTTCCCAAACAATGCAGTGCAACTCATAGGTGTGGAAGAGGATGGCAGATGAGGTGGAATGATTGAAAGAAAAAGATTTAGAAACAGTCTCAAAAAATTCATATGTTAAAAATAAATGTGATTTCAAAATTGGGGGAGAGAGAATTATCAATGATAATGTTTTGACTTCAAATCTACTGTTATCTCCCTTTAACTCCCTCTGTTTTTGGTTTTTTTTTTAAATATATTCTTCATCATTATGTGATGAAGAATATATTTAAAAAAAAAAAAAAAAAAAAACCCAAAATTTGGTGCAAGCAAATTTTCATTTCAAAAATGCAGTCCAGAGAAAAACGTTTGAGAACCACTGGTCTACAGTAATATTAGTATGAGTTTGCTAACTGCTACTCCATAGTGAGCAATCCTATAAAGTCACAATCAATCAATACATATACTCACTGATAATGGCAAAGATTTACAAATTTCATTGTTTTACTGTAAGTGAATCTTAGTTAAGAATATCAGACAGATTCTCCTCTGTTGACTTCAGAAGAAGAGGTAAAGAGAAAATGGGCTCAAAATGAAGGAATAGATACTACTACTACTACATTACCATCATCATTAGTATTATTACCACTGCTACTACAACCATAGCATGCCCTGGTTACATGTTTTTTTTTTTAATGACCCAACAGTTTTTCTTCTTGATTAAATATCATGTCAACTCACTGAGTGCTCTGTTGTGACGCTTGACAAGGATGCCTAGAATGTTGCCAATGACATCCTTAGTGTCCTTCTGTCTGGAAACATTTGGATTCTCCAGGAGTTTGTAGCAAAATCCAGTAATTAAACTAAAAGAGAAAAAAAAAAATCATATAAAAACTTCAATTTTAAAAATATTCACTTTTATATAAAGTTTACCCAGAAGACAAATCAAACATTTTAAAGATAAAAATAGCCATTAGTTTTAGCAGGAGCTTTTTACATTGGTAGAGGCAGAGAAAGTAAAATAAAAGCAAGTTCTAAAGTATGTACTTACGAAATGAACTCTTCTTCAGCCACAGGTGGGTCCCACAATCTATTAATATCGAGTTCAACTATTTGAAGTATCACTTTCAGGCAATAGTCTCTTTCTTGAGCCCAATCTAAAGTTGTTAGGGTTTCACTGATTTTCTTCTTACGGCCCTGAACAAGAGGAAAAAAAAAGGAACAAATGATTTCATTTAGTTTGGAGGTGGACAGACATCTTCCCCTATTTGTGGAGTAAAAATCTGAATTCTTATTACAAATATATTCGAAGCTGTAAACAAAAATCAAATGCTGTAAAAGTGACAGAAGATAATACTGCCTAAGTGACATCTCAGGTCTCAAGTGATTCTCTTCCCTAAGAGTACATAAATAAGCAGAATAGAAAGGAAAAGGTTCAAAATATCTGCAAATTATGATTAGCTGACAAAGCAAAATAAATCAAGGTTTCTGACCAAGTAAATAATCATAACTGTAACCAAGATCTCACATGAAAAATAATGCTAATCTCAAAGGGAAAAAAAAAAAAAAAAAGAGGCCATATGCCAATTACAAAAAAATAATGCTCCAAACAAGTTCAGTTAGTACAATTTTATTAAGATGTACACATTGCAGCAGAAATACCTCCCACATAATAATAAAACATTAGTGGAAATGGTGTCTTCATTTATTTATTTTTATTTTATTTTATTTTTTAATCACTTAGAAAAGCACATAAATTCTAAAATGGGCACAGACATTTTGTACATAAGTCTTCAGTTTAACTATTTACGTCATTCAAACTTGTCCTGATCTTTATTGTCATATTCACATTTCAGTAATTGTACGCTCCCACCTTCTTCAGATGATATACATCAGAATTTCGAACCAAACCCTTTTGTAGTCCACTGGGATAGATTTCTTGTTCCACATGCCATGCCTTTGGATCAAGTCAATGGATTACTTCAACGAACATAAAGACATTGGTTGAAGTAATCCAAATATTTTTTTGTATCACCACAAAAAGATACATAGAATTATTACTTTTTGCTAAGATATTATTGGAAAAAAATTAATTTAAAATATTGGCATTAACAATTCTAACAATAAAATTCAATTCAATTTAAACTAAAGTGTACAGCAGCCAAAAAAAAAAAAATAAAATAATCAGGCGAGTCTGTCTGTTATTCTAAGATATTGGAGTTTCAATATTTAAAGATTTAATGTTTACTCAGGTTTTTATTTTTGTTTTAAAGTTTAAAACTTTAAAAAGAAAATTTTCTTCTGGAAGATGACACGTGTTTTACAATGTATATGTAGTGTAATTTAATAAAATAATTCAGAAAACTCATTTTGAAGAATATTTTACTTAAAGAAAAATTTTATCAAATAATAATGAATGAGAAGGCATTAAAATTTCTGGTAAAGTTTTGTCAATACATGCATATCATGTCACACACTGAACAATACAGAAAGAAAAAAAAAAGCCCAAAAACAAACACCTGACAAAATCCTTGTCAATGTCGTTATAACAAAAGAAGTTAACAAAAACAAAATAAATACAACAACAACAAAAAAAATAATATATATATATATATATATATATATATATATATATATATATATATATATATATATATACCAAATGGAAAGAAAAAAAAAATTAATAAGCAAAGATAGAAAGAACAGGAGAAAAAAACAATGAATAAAAGAAATAATTTGTCAATGCAAAGCAAAACATATTTTTAAACTTACATTCATATTGCCTCCAATCTAGAAAAATACAGTTATTATATATAAATGATTTTATAAATAATGGTGCAGGCATGTTTGATAGTTGAAATTAGATTTGGTGAGATCTCAAACCTGTACAATAACTATATAAGAGAATGTTTCAAGAAGCATGCTACAGAAAGATATGAAAATGCCCAGAGTTAAAACACTGTCAAAGTAGTACACACGCAGAATATGGGGGGGTGGGGGTGCAATATCTCTTTAAGCCAAAACAATCTCAATATTGAACATATGTATATGTGACATGACATCAAAGATGATGCTCATAATAAAACAAGAGTTGCAATATGTCCTGATAGAAAAATAAAAAGTTCACTATTTCAAAAAAAAAAAAAAAAAATAACTAAATAAAATAGAAAAGTTTTCAAACCAATTTGCTTCACCATAAAGAAATAAAAGCAAAAAAAGAAAATAAATAAATAAAGGTCATCATTCATGTAGAAGAAAAACGGATTGTCAAATGAGTCACACCTGTGAGCCAATAAGAAATCAAGAGACAATTCTGAAATGAATTCCTTTGTCTTGGAAAAAAGTATCAAAACACAGAGATGACCAGGCAAAGGAAAAATAGAGTAGATGAAATAATTTCATCTATTCTCCCATACCCTACATTATCAGGACACCTAAAAATCCCAGATAGAGTCAAAAAGATTATTACTATCAACAAGATTCATACATATACATTTACAAGGATTCTCTTCTCACTCAAGCTAAAAGACATTCAATACGAGAACTTTCTCATATGAACTTATGAATATTTAAATATTGTATCTTCTATTTTAAGAGATATCAAATTTTATCAGTACATACAAAATATATCTTTGCACTAATTATCTTTGCATTCATTTTTAATAGGCCAAAAATTGGTGTATATTAGGATTAAGGACATTATCCAAAGATAACCACCTGTAAACACCCACAAACACTTACAATGTAATAAGATTTTTGTTTGACAATCCCAAAGCAAAGAAGTGAAGAACCCATTTTCAGATGCACAGATACACTTCTTTATGCCTTTTGGAACAGGGTACGGGAGATGATGATGATGATGATGATGATTTTCTTTCTGAAGCACATGATCAGGCCTGTTACCTCGGTGACAAAAGTTGATTTTGTCACCTGGAAGCACCCACTGTCATCAAACACCCAAAAATTCAGCAATTAGACAGTTCAATCAGATACTGTTAAACACTAAAGAGTTGTTCACCAAAAGAGACCTGGACATTTACATAGAGGCATTACATCAACACTACCCCACACAGCGAAACTGACCAAAAAAGTAGTTCCAGCAATGCAATTGAAAGGTTTAATTGTCTTTACTTAATAGTTTTGACTTGGTTACTTCAGATCATCATTTGAAAGGACATTAATCCAGGAAGTAGTTCCCCACAGATAACATGAAAGACAATATTTATACAACTGTATGCTGATTGGACAAATACAGAATAGTGCAAGAAATATATGCACAATGTTAGATCAGTAAATATTTCTATCATACTTTTTAGACATACCTCACATCTAAACACACGCAAAAATTAGCCTGCACAATATAAATCAATTTTTTTTAAGAATTATGTCCTTAACATTACCACCAATACAAAAGTGATTAATTTTCTAAAAGTAACATTAGACCTGGATAATGGTTACCATTATCATACTAATTCGCTACACTGATCATGTAATCATGGTGGACACAATATTTCTTCAAGACCTTGATCTTTTCTTCATTGCGATACCACCCCACAACATTCACCACTTCATCATGGATTTCATCAACGCCTGCACCAGACAGTACAGCTATTTCTGCCTTATCTTCAACTATCAACTTCCAGCATTTCCTTTCAACCTAACTCACTTGATTTACTCAATAACAGTACTGGACATTTAAATTGAACTTTGCTTCCCTCTGGCTATATCATCCAGACTTCAAACAACCTATTTTGTACACTTGGGTCAAATACTATGGAAGGTTCATCATTAGACTTAATCAGCAACTACTCAGCACTTTCACTTTAAGCTGAACCATCAAGCTGTAGGGCATTTTTATATACAAAAAAAAGTTGAAATACCAACCTTTACACTACCATGGTTTCAACCAAAGTGGTACTGCTGATACAGCTCTGGTAGAATCTATGGTAGCATAAAGGTCAGTGTTTCAAATTATATATATATATATATATATATATATATATATATATATATATATATATATATATATATATATATATGAACAAATATGGCAAAAACTATTGATTGTATTCTGACAGAATAACAGGGTAAAGAACAAATAGGAAACGTTTATAAATTTAACATCTTTTACTTTTATTAAAGCTTCATCACAGAATGAAATATGGAAGAGAAAATGAAAATCCCGGCATTATTAATTTTTGTGTCATTTGTTTTTTATTGGTTACACAGACCTCATATCCATGTCTTGTCAAGCAGCATTCATGTGCATATATGTGTATCATAATTATAGTTTGTCTATGTGGAATTCAGATGATAATGTGTGTGTATGTGAATAGTAGTAGTAGGCATTTTTATCCATATTTGGTGGTTGTCCATATGTTGATTGGGGGACATTTTGTGTGTGGGTGAAAGAATTTAAGTTACACTGGTTATAGTTGCAGTTACACATATCCTAGTTTCTTTAAGTATGGATCTTATAAAAGTTGGTGATATATATAATAAAGCATGTTTGACGTATGCAGACATTCAAAACATACAAGTATTTAATAAACAATTTCTTTCATAAGAAAAATAAAGAGTAGTGAATGGAGTAATGAATAGAACAAAATAGATATAAAAGTGACCAAAATCTGATCAAGGCAGACACCATTGGGTTTTTTTTTTTTTTTTCATGAATAAATACACTTGATTATCCCCAGAAAATAAAATGTCAAAGTGCCTACCTGAGCAATGCCAACTTTGGTTTCTTCTGCTTCAAAACCATCTGCCAATTGACAAACTAAGTAACAGAGCATTTTCAGAGCATTTAGATGCTGAGATTGATTCTCACTGGAAATTGTGTTTTCCTGGAGCAAATGTTGCAATGCATTGGAAAAACGTGATAGGCCTGTGACAGAAACAATTACATAGAGTCAAAAAGAGGCATTAAAAAGTACTTTATCTCTTTTTTTGGCTGGGTATCATTTCATATGCATAAACTACATTTACAGTGAAACTAGAGTTGCTTGAATCAAGGAGAAATCATATTTAAGAAAAAACAATTCAATGTCAAATTTCAGCTTTTACTCAAATGAATTTAAAATAAAACTGGCCATCTCCTTAAGAAATGGCCAAGATATTCATAAAGTAAATGCAATATAACAAATGACAAATATGATCATGATAGAGAAAGACTTTTAGTGCACAAAAATTATATAAATTTGTTTAAGTCAAAAAAAAAAAGATTAGCTAAAATCTTCCAATCTCTATTTTCTTCAAGTGATTCATTATTGTAGATAATTGTTAATTGAGACAAGTTCTTTACAAACTCAAATTTCACAGAACATAAACTAGAGCTGAATCATTTTCAGAAAGACAGAGAGGAAAAGCATTAGACTGGCACATTTAAACATGGCAACAAAGACAACAGTTCAACTTAGAAAAGACAATATAAATTCTTTGGATCGATATTTTGAACCCTAAACATGAATGTAACTAACTGCAAAATACATATTTATGGTATAAAAAATAAAATAGAAAAACAACATTACCGCAGAATTTCATTCCAATTCAAGTAAAAATATTTAGATTAATGACAAAAAGTGTAGGTTTTATGGAGCCTCCATTTTTTTTTCACTCAACTCAATTTTAAAATTCTTACATCATTTTTTTTTTTTTAACTTTTTCTTTTTTATTTACAGGTGAACTATTATCCTCATCTTCGTTGTTTTTACAATGTTTCGGTCATTATGCCCTCATCAGGTGTATGGCACACTGAGTAGCCTCCAGGGAATTCTGAACTAAACCTTTTATTTAATTTAGGACGTAGATTATTCTCATTCCACTGCCCACATCTCCGGATATCTCATCTAGTTCTTATTTTTAGTATTGTTTAACCATTTCCATAAAGTCAAAGTAGATACTACCCTGCCCAGGGATTGAACACACAATTAATATGACACCAAATTCATAAACCAACATATTAATCCACATGCTCATTTAGTTTTAATAAAAATCAAAGAAACTAGTCAAAATCTAATATTTAGAAAATACTTGTCGATGACTATTATATCTAATGTTACTATTATAAATATACAAACAGGATGGCAATATAGTGATAAGAGGACAAAGGAACATGATGCTGGCAAATGAACAGAACTACTTTTTTTTTAAGCCATCACCCTTCAGGACGTGGGTGATAACTTTCCACTGATTCCTTTTTTTTTTTTATTACCTGTGCATTGCTAAGCATTCACAGAAAATATACTGAATTGGTTTTACTTTGCCTTCTCTATGGATTTGGAATTAAGAGTTTTCCTTTTTGTAAACTAGTTGCCACACAAGGCTATCCTGCTATATAACCCACAACCTGGACAGGGGTTGAAGAGGCAGATTTATGCCTTCCCCATTTTTGCCCTGGAATTTTAACTAAGCTCACCAATTTCATGTGCTGCACTAATATCTATCACACCAGCCACACATCCAAGTAAGGCTAAGAGACACAGAGAGTGAGTCTTTATTTTTAGTCTATCCTGTTTACCTAATGGTTGTAGATTAACAATCCGAGAGTTGCAATAAAAAGCAAGATGATGAAAGAAAAACAAGGCCAAACAGAATAATAATTCTTCTATTCTGACAGTTTTCAAACGACAACATGCTGATGATCAGGAAATTTCAACTGTCTAAAGTAAATAAAACAGAGTAGAATATTTTAGTCAACATCAAGATTTATTTTTATACAGCCAGCAATAAATGTTATTTTTGATTTCATCTGCAATCCCTTTAGTTCCATCTCCAAAAAACACATCTTTCTCCCACAAATATTTTGATAAAACTGAAAGCCTATTCAACAAGTAGACTTTTAAACTAAGTTCCCATAGAACACCTAAATAACCACCAAGTAAATCAGTGGTTCTTAACTTTTTTTTTTTTTTTTTTTATCCATGGACTACTTTTAACAATTATTCTGAAGTGAAATATTACCATGGACCTCCAAATTTACTATTAGTTTTTTGTGTGTTCCCTCAGTAATGGTACATAGGCCTTGGTTGAGAACTAGAGGTATAACGCTTATACTATAAATGTAAACAAAAAACATAATTTCCAAACTGTCTTTATTTTCCAGTAACCAGAATCAACAAGTCTTTGGTTTAAGTAATGGAGGGAGGCATAAAAAAAGAAAAAACAATGGGGTAGTAATGGGCAAAAAAAGCAATAGGTAAATTAAAAAAAAAAAAAAAAAAATACACACATAAAAACCTAACTTAAACTTACTTGGGTTTCTAGCTAGAAAAATGTTAACTTTATACAGTTAAACAAAGAGAGATTCAGATTTGGTTCAGTTAACCTAACAAAAAACAATTTAGCATTATACTTACATTGTAAATCTGACTCCCTTGTTAAGAGATTAAAAACATGATAAAAACACGTTCTGTGATGCCATTAGAACGTTTGGTGGGCATAGCCGAGTAGTATGATGACAGACAAAAAAAATAACATTTGTTGAATTATAAATAAATAAATAAATACTAACCCTTGACAAGGATCTGCCACAGCGTTTCTTTTAAGGAATGGGAAGATTCAGCTTCAGAGCTAAAATTAAATTTTGAAACATTTTTTTTCTGTAAATAATACTAGATAGTAATTTGATATCTATTTCAATTAGCAATTATTTTAGAAATAATGGAGGAAAGATTTCTAATAAATTTGGTAAGTAATTTTTCAACACGACGACAGGGGAGCTTTTCATAAGAAAAAGCATTTTCAACATTGTAATAATGCTACTTGTTCTGTACAGCAAATGTAAAATTCAGTTTGCACACAATCATTTTCATGGTGCCATGGAGTACAATTGTAAGGGATTGAACTCTTATTGACAGATACAAGGGAGGTAATTCCTATTTACATCAATTATAATCGGTTATCCCAGGATTCAATAATCAGAAAAAAAAAAAAAAGGAAAAACCAAAAACTTTTTTTCAAAAATTTGAATTCACTGTGCACCAAAGCACGACACTGAATCTATATGGGGTTAATCTTCACAGATCTTCAACCTCCCAACATATCTGAGCACTGATCACCTCATACAGTATTTATTACTCATATTGGGCATATTCTTAACTTGTTCTTTCTCTCACAAAAATTTCAAGTGGAAACTTCACTTAAAAATAATTGAGTGCTACTATATCTAACTTTCATTTCCTACTACAGCATATTTACCAACAGTTGGAAGTATGAATTTTGTTAGGGTTAGGGTGAAAAGCAGTGAACATGTATTATGTATTAAAAGCCATTAACAATTTTTTTTCATACAAAAAAAAAATCAAATAGTGATTTTAATGTTTATAAACTGATTTGTTAACATTAAAAAAATAAAACAAACAATAAACATTTTTCCTGAGCATTTTCCAGCAATAATGAGTGCATTGTCATTTATGATTTGGTTTGTTTTATGGCATATCAACCTCAATGGGTTATTTAATGCCAACAAAATTTTTATTGCTGGTAATATGTTTTTCTAGGAATATTTTTCCTTGAAGAAATCTATAGCTGATCATAATTTTTTCAAAGAATGTATAACTGTTTGTATTGCTGGTATTTTTTTTTAAAGTATTGCTGATAATAATTTTTTTATTATTACAAAGTATTTCTGGTATTAAAACCTATTTTTACACAAGTTTGGATGTAAACTATTTGCCTATAGCTGGGACCCTAACAGGTGCTCCCACCCCAGGTCAGGGTGAACCTGGGAACACCAACAATTAAGAGGTAGTTCTACACTCCTCAAAACCTCCTGATCAGATAGATGCCTTGCTGCTGGACGTAGCTTATCGTCTTACCCAGGACGCAGATATAGTTTATCATCATACCCAGGACAGTCGTCATTTATGGTAAGTTGCAAATACATCAGTAGATATACTATAGTAGCACCAAAAATTGATCTCTTTTTTTTCTTTTTATTGTTTAAAGATAAAAAAAAAAAAATCACTTTCACACTATCACTCTACACAAATCTCTCTGGTTCTATAGAATATACACAAATCATTTTTTTCCTATCAGGCTTTAGACCAATTTTTTCTTTTAACCAATAAAAAAGATTTTGACAGTTTACCTTTATAGAAGTTGTTTACTTACCACTCATCAGTCATATTTTACTTATAACTACAGTGTAACAACTATTTATGTAATATTGGGTATAAGTAATGTAGAATTGATTTGAAATATACAAGAGGGTGGGCATAGGTGAGACGCAAATACTACATTGTATTTTAGATACCAATGGATGACTGTATAGACCAATGAGCATTCTCCAGACACTAAATAGAATTGCTGGAAAGCCAATATGAATCAGCAAATCGCAGAAGACAAAATGAAAACAAAACATTAATTTTAAAAAGGTGGATAGTATTAAAAGAGTTAGAGACATCTTCCAGTTGAAATGAGTCAAGATGTTTTTAATCTGGAGACTAATAATTTGAAAAGCAAACATAACATTCACATTTTCAAATAATAGCATAAAATTCTCTGAACTGTATGTATTTTTTCCAACATATTTTAATCTATCTGTTCACAGTACACTGAACAAAGGTATAAATAAATCATCTAATTAACTGACTCTACTAAAATAAACAAATATTTCTTAAAAGAGAGACAAAAAAAAAAAAAAAAAAAAATACTCAATATTTGTTGTGTAAAAAGACAACCAACCTTTTCTACACTAATTGTTAAACATGGATCCATCCAGCCTCTAGGAGAAGAAGATCTGCTCATAGGAACAGTTGTCGCAAAGTGGGTCGCAAGGCATAGTGCTCAGGTTATACACATTGCTGCACTGAACTACGGTATTCTCTATTACTGCATTACTAATCCATCGCCCTCATGTGATTAAACCTGTTCTTCACTCAACCTTTTGTTCTAGTCTTTCCTTACAGTATTATTAACCAGAACTACAAACATTTATACAAACTTATAACAATATTATTTAAGTATCAATTAAGAAAAACGAAATTAAATCTAGGTTGGTCAACAAAAAAAGCTTTCTAAGTTGGTGTTCATTTAAAACAAAAACAACATCACTGTTGAAATATTACCTACTAAAGTAATACTGATAACAGACTACCTTGTTTTTTGTTTTTTTTAAATAAAAACTAGTATTAATAATCTATAGAAAATGAATGAATCAAATAAAAATTGAATTAGAAAAATATAATACCATAATATGCTAAAGGGAACATCAAATTTCTGCAATATAGTAAGGTAACCACAGTTTTTCATTGCCACTCTGAATTCTACAAAGAGAAAAGATATTCAAATATTAAATGGTTTAAATTAATACTATCCATGTTAGAAGAGAAATGTTATAAATCCAAAAATCAATGATAAAACAAAGCTGTTGACTCAACCCATTAAATAAAAGGTGACTTCTGAAATTAAACACTTCAGAAAATAAGTTACAAATATATTAAGCATGGTCAATTTTTTTTTCATTATTAAAGTTTCTTGTAATCTACATAGAACTGTTTAGAGAATGAAAAAAAATTCAAATAAGTGTTGGGGGGGATAAAGAAGTTGGCATAGAGGAGAGAAAAGGCTAACATCTGATGATTCTTAACACTGCTGACCAAAGAAAATAGGATGAAATATTGCAAGTTTCAATAAATACAGTAGTCTTCTTATTTGCAGGGATTATATCTAAAGATTCTGCAGATAGTGCCAAGTCCTACATGTTTTCTTCTCCATAGACAACACATATCTATGATGAATTTTAAAATAAGGCACAATAAGAGATTAATGACAACAGAAAAATATACGGTAATAAAAAGTTATATGACTATAAAAGATGCATTCTTAGTATACACTCAGCCAGTTATGTGCCATGCATGATACTTAGGCAATCATGTATCTTTTGATACATGACTGACGAGGCAGATTTTTTCCTGGTAGGTTGCCATTTCTTTCTGCAGTAGACCAGTTGCCATCCAAGGCTATAGTACCTGGTCTGTCTTGCTATTTAAGCATAGCATAAAAGGATTCATATTTTTTTCAAGGGTATTAGTACGTAAAGTGAATGTAATGGATTCAACTGGAATTCAAACTTGGATCTCTGATTCCTCAATCCGAGACGCTATCGATTACTCCACCGTAGCAATCTTAAAAACAATTTTGTCTTAAGTCAAGAAGTTTTTACTTAAAAGGAAACACTTTATTACTTTTATTTTTCATATGCAAGTTGCCAGCAATCACCACTCGTATAATATGGAAAAATCATCAAGTAAAACTCATGGTTTATTTTAGAAGTTGGCTTTGAATAAACGAAACTCCAGAATGCTTTGAACACAACATCCAACAACATGAATTGGAAAATTTTCAGAGATCATTATTTTCTTACCTTCTAAGGCTCCAGGCAAATGCCTTGACCCAATGATTTCCTCGACAACATACTGGCGTGTAGTGGTTCTTTTCAAGAGGTCTTTCTTAGAAATAGGCAATATAAAGTCAAAGGCGGCCATCCTACAGGAAAAGAAAAAAAGTGCAGGTTAATACCAACATAAATGCAGAACTTGAATTCTAAAATAAAGACATTGAAATGCAATGAGCTCTAAAATTATAAAGAGGTCATAGATTTTGTTAGTTTATAATAGGTGTTGGCAAACATCCGGCCTATGAAGAATCTTTGTCTAGTCCAACAACTTAACACCTGCACAGTAATTATTTAATTCATTTGCAGAACAAATGGCAGAAAAATATCAGTGGAGTTAATTCACTTACAATGCAACAAGTCAAAATCAAAAACAGAAAATATAAAAGCCTACTGAATAATGCAAAAATGATTGTATCATTATTTGGAAGTACATATGCTTTTAAACAATTTTTTGCAAAAATGAAATATACTAAAAATTGTTTAAGAACAAGATTGGGTGATGACCACCTGGATGATATTTTGCTCCTGCCATAGACAATTTCACCTGATGTGAGGAAGTTACTATACAATAAGCAGAAACAAGTGCCTCATGAAATAATTTGCCATTTCTAACTGTATTTTGTTTGTAGTAAGGAGTTTGCATTTTTTATTGATTGTTAGCTGTTATCCTGTTATTCCTACAGTAAAATAAGGAAGCTTTTTTTTTTTTTAAAATAACATTAATTTTGTTGTTTCTTCTTTAAACCTCCAGACCAAGGCAGCATTCAGGATGGAGCAATTGTTGTAACAATTTATTATACCACATTTGATATCATGCCCTTTGATTATTACTCACTTAAATGGCTGATATATATATATATATATATATATATATATATATATATATTTTGCTTTTTATTTAATGATTAATAGAATAAAAAAAACAAAACAAAAAAAAAAAGCAACGCCCATTACCAAACTTACACTGCATATTTGTTACAAGCACTATTTAGCCATTAATAACTAAATGGCTTTTTCTGCTGCCACTACTACATGTAAGTGATTTGAACTCAGATTTCCAATTTCTTAATCCAAGCAACTATCTTATAACTGATATCTGCACATTTCAGTTGCTCCAGTTAAAAACCAACAATTTTGAATGCTGATTTTCTTGATTAGAAATTCTTTGCTTACTTGAAAGATGGGCGCATTTCCAAAACTCAATTTTCATCCATATGTGAGTGTTTGGTGTATGAAATTACAGTACTTTTTTTTTTTTATTTTTTTTTTTTTATTTATTTCTTTTTAGAAATCATTTACATCAATTGTAATCTACAGACTTCTTCAGGTGCCTGCTTGTATCCAACTTTGAATTAAAAGTATGTTTTATTTGATCCACTAGGGTATATTGTTGTTCTCATTCCTTTAATCTACACAATACATGTGTGTGTGTGCAAGAGAGGAAAGATGATGTGACGGCCCTGGGCATCCATATTAGAACATCTAATCAAAGACTGAAATAAAAATTTAGTTTCTGAAAAGTGAAATTGTCTCCATTAACTTTGTTTTACAAGTGCCATGTAGTCCCACAAGCTTCTGTGAATGTGGATTCATGTTTTGATAAGCAAGTCTGTAGTAGGTACTCTTACTTGAGTCTTAGTGGCATACAATCAAGGAGTTGGCTCCAAGCATTACCAAACATCTGCACATCACTGTGTGTGTGTGTGTTTCATTCCCATGGAATTTCAGAAACAATAGAATTTTTCTCCTTATGGTGCCAACTGGTTCTCCCCTGAGCTGGTGGATATTTATATACTGTCTAATCCAGAGATTGAACATAAAAATTCTTGAAAACCACATGGGCTTTAACCAGCTGCAAGTTAGAATATAACAGGTATGATAAATGAATCAAAAAACACAGCCCAATGAGGTATATATCAAATAGATGGTTCCATTTTATATTCCTAAAGAAAGAAAGAAAGAAAAGAAAAGAAAAAAAAAAAAAAAGGTTCTCTGATGTTATTTGAATACAACAAACACCTGACAAAGACTAGCAGGGAATAGAGCATCAGATAAGAAAATTAGTCATAATCACTTAACAACACACTGAAAAAAAAAAAAAAAAAAAAATTAATAAATAAAAATAAATGGGGAGGGGGTAGGTTGATTGATTTTACATGTCAACTTTTGTTGGGCTATTTAATGTTGATATTTTTTTTTTGTAAGGGGTGGGCTAAACTCACCACTCAGTAATGATGATCAGTCACCCAATGTACAGAAGATTTGAATCCCTCTTCCTAAAACCTTTTTTTTTTTTAAATATCATTTCATCCCCAAGCAAGACAACAAAGCCACAAGAGTTTACTGAGTTTGAAAGAATATAAGAAAGAGACAAACATTATTAATAAGTGAAAACACAAAAAGCATTAAATAGAACTTTAATTTATGAGAGAACTGCATGGTATGAACTAAACGTTCATACCATGCAGATCAACTGAACAGTAGCATAGATTCTTAGTCAGAAGGTTATGTCACACAGATACTTCTCTTCTATATTTGCCAACTAATTCTTTTTAGCCTATAATCAAAGTTATACAATAATAAAAGATTAAAAACTAAATATTTGTCCTACAAAAATGTAGATTGCTGTAACACTGGGAAAAGAAGCTGATGCATAAAAAAGAAATGCAAAAATATATTAATATAATTAAAGGGTAAATAAAAAAAATAATAAAATAGACTCAATTCATTTATTACACTTTCTTATAAGGAGACTAGAGTTAAAAAGTTACCAACACATATCCTTTAAATAAAAAGTGGCTATATTTAAGCTATACAGTAAAAAAAAAAAAAAAATTGGGCTTGAATAAAATTTCATGTACAAGCAGGGCTCAAATTGATGTGGTAAAAACTGTCAAAATAAAACCAGATGGTTCCTTATATTAAAAAGATACGTGCATAAAATTTGGTTTTCAAAAATTTGTTAGAAAAAAAAAAAAAAAATTATATAATGTATATATTAGTTACCTCAAAAAATTTTCTAAAAAAGACCATATCACAACGAAAAAAGGCCCCAAACTTAATAAAAACAAAGTTTTATCATCAAAATGTTTATGTTATTATTAAGAGGAAGACCAAAGTACTTTTTTGTTATTTTATTAAATTTTTTAATCCTTTCTAGCACATTTGAAATTTTGGTTAAAAATGTTTTTCTTGCATCAGTGAGCATGTCAAAAGGGAATTTTAGCATCTTTTTTTGGCACTAAAAACACATAAAGTTGTAAAAATCAAATAATTGTAAGATTTTAATGACATTTTCAGGACTTATTCACAAATGAATTAATTTTTTTTCTTTAAAAAATCTTGGTAAAATTTTTTTTTTTTTTTTAATATTTGTTACCCCCACTTAATCTTATGAAATTAAATTAAAATTTTAGACAGTTCATATTTATATTAGCTAAAAGCAGGACTCCTTAGAGAATTTAAATCACTATTATCTTTTTGTAAAACAGAAACACAATTTACCAAAAATCTGCTCTGAATTGTAAAATAAAAATGCAATGAAACTAGATATTATTTAGTTAGAAAAGTTTTTAATTGTTTTTATAAATAAAATGTATTAAGAAAAAAAATTTTTTTTAATGAATTGTTTTCATTTTTTTTTTAAATTTTAATTAGAATAATTTATTAAGTTTTAAATCTTTTAAAATTCTATATTAATTTCAGCCTTTTAGATGAAATTATTATGAAGTGAAAACTATATTTACTAATCATAAATGAAAAAGATAAATACAAATCATCAAACAATGTATAAAGATGCCATTTTTGTAAGTACAGGTGACCATACAACATTATCAGAAAATAAGAGCAATAACTATAGTAAATTTAGTCAACATTTCTAAAGTTCAATAAAACATTAGATTACTTTTTTTGAAATAAAGCTAAGTATTTTGCTTATTTGAAAAATTAAATTTAATCTATTAGCTGTAAATTAAAACTAAAATGAAAGCTTCAAGAAAGATTTTTCATTTTTAAAAATTCATTTAAAAATTAGGTATCGTATCTTGTTGAGGTCCCTAGTGTGTGTGAGATTTTTAACCAATGAGGAAACTAAGTTACGTCTATGTAGGTTTCAATTTGGGATTGCATCTGGAGCTGATTTGTGGCTATTTAAGAAGTCTGGCTGGACCAGAAAGATTTTGGCATTCACAAGACGTCTGCTGGTTCTTGGAGCTGAACATAGAAGCAGAAGAAACAGAAAGATTCTACAAATTTAGGGATATATACATTTACCTTTCTGTGGTTATGTGAAAGTTTGTTACAATATTATAGGAATTAACCCTGATTTTGAACTTTTTGAAATTGTAATTAGAACTTATCTTGGCTAATTGTATGATGCAATTTTGTGTAATCCTATTTTGTAAATTTTGTATTCTGTGTTTTAACTATTTTTCATATCATTTATGTAAATTTCTTTCAAATTTCACAACAGAGGTAAGAATCTTGTGTTTTCATTTGCACTACTCATAATATTCAAAATAAGAGATTTGATGTTCACTCTTCTCACCCAATAAAAATAAAATCCTTTTACATGGTGGGGTAGGATGTGACATGATTTCATATAGGGTTGCCTATATGCATACATATGGGCCAAAAGCAAAGTCTGTCCATTCCCAGCAACCAAGTAAACCACAGACATCAGACTACTCTGACCCAAACCATTATGGAAAAATAAGTGAAATTACCTGCATTTGTGTGGGTTGTGGTTAGATATGGGAGGCAGAATGTTTGCCATGCTGGTTTTCCAAAGCGAGGCTTCTCTGAGCTCTGGTTTTTGTAATCATTTTACTGGAAGGGGTAGGATGCGCAGGTCTGCCACTTTGTTACTTAAGACGTGCCTTCCCTCTGTTCACCTCTTTTCCTTTGTGAAAGGGACTTATGAGAACAGAGTCGTTCCAGAAGCTCTCTTTTTCTCATATAGTTAACTGACCCCTATTTGGAATTGGTTTGCAAGATAGGCAACACTTACTGTACTGGACTAGCTTCTAGCTACCCTTAGAGTCAAAAGGAATTTTCAAAACTATTCAGAGTAATCCAGGAGTTGCCTTTTTTCTTTTTTTACAATGATGTTCACCCTGTACATAAGAATCATGAGCCAGTCGAGGTTTACAGAGTAAGAGGCATAATTTATGTAGATATGTGGGGAAGATTACAATTAACCCGAGACTTGAGCAGGTTAAGAAGATTGTAGTGATTGGAATTCCCCATCCCCTCCCTCGTTAGGTGGTCAGTGATGTCAGTTCTCTGGTGGATGCGGGGCGCCTTTCATTTCGTGTGTGATTTTTCGTATTTGTTGTTGTGTATGAATGTGTGTGTGCCTGTGTGAATGCTTTGGAGGAATGAATGTTTTTCTTATTTTTCATAGTCCCGCATTGATTTCGTCCAGTTAACTGATATTTCTGCCACATTTAAGGTTTGTGAGGTGTTTTATTACTAACTCCTTTTTTGTTTAGTTTCTTGTAAATATTTTAAGTCATATTGTATATACACATTGGGGATCTTTTAAAAAATTGTTGTTTTTTTATGCCCCTCCCCCCACGAACAATATTTGTACATAAGGGGACTATTTAGGACTTTCATTGAGACGAAGAGGTATTTTGGTGGACGTAGTATGAAAGGTATGGATACTTGTGTTGTTTTGGTGATAGGAATATTGTTTTGTATGATAGGGTCAGTGGTTGTGGCTAGCTAAGTTTTATGTTAAGACAAGTGATGACCATCCTTTTCCCCCAACCCCCTTTTGGCCATGTGCCACATTTGTTGTATTTGCAACAATAAATATTAGATTGTAGTGATTGGTGAAACATCTTCTTGAGAGCCGGTTCCACAAAGAAGCAGTTCAAACAAAGAATGGAATCTCATTGATTCATTGCAAAGCTACTAAATGACTGAAGGCAGAATCCAGGTAGAGATGACAAACAGATACTACACTTTTATGCTTATTAGAGAAAAAAAAGTAATAAGTCGTACATACAAACCAGAACAAGCTGAATTTTATTTTTAAGTCTCGCAATCAAGTAAGTTTTTTTTTTTTTTTTTTAAATAAAAATTTCCTGTTAAACGTAAATTGTATACAGGGTGATCCGAAAAAGTCTTATCACGCCTACAATTTTCTCCCACAAGAAAATGTTGGTGTTTACAGACCTTCTCGATGTGTGACAGCGTCAATGAAAGTGAATAAACTGAATCCAGTCCATGTGTTTTGTATTTACTGTATTACTTGTTCTTCTATTGTTCTCATTACTTTTTTGGTTGGGAGTGACAAGACTTTCGGACCACACTGTACAATGATTTTAAAAATGGTTTCTTAAGAAGATTAAAACTCAAAAAGATTCATTACGCAAGAAATAAAACCATTTCTTTGAAACAAACCATCAATGATATAAAAAATAAAATAAATCCCTGAAGGTTATGGAAAATAAAATAAATAAGAATTATAAATTTAAATTATTTTTTTGACCTACTTGGAATAGGAAAATAGTTCTACATAGTTTCAGTCAGTTATGTGCCATGACTTTGGCAGAATTTTTCACGCAGTAGGTTGCCATTTCTTTCTGTGGCAGACCAATTGCCATCCAAGGCTATAGAACCCAGTCTGTCCGGCTATTTACCCATGGAGGAGGGGGAGAAAAAGAAGAGGATTCATACCTTTCCCAAGAAAGGATATTAGCACGTAAGTGAATAATGGATTCAACTGGAATTCGAACTCGGCTCTCCGATTCTTCAATCCGAGCTGCTATCCATTATTGCAGTTTAGCTTATTTAATTATAAAAAAGTATTTTTTTGTTATTATTAAAAAGACATTTTCACTTACAATTCTATTTTTAAAATCAAGGAAAGGTTTAATTCACAGAAACGAAATAAATGTGCATTTAAAATCTTTAACAACGAACGTTACATTTTAATCTTTAAATCCGATAAGGAAAAAAAAAAAAAAAAATGTCCCAAAGTGTCATTTTAGTCTTTACTATTTTAGCTATTTTATGATTATTTTTTTTATAAAAAAATATTATCTAGAAAAACGAAGTTTAAATATTTATATATTTAAAAAAAAATTGCAATGATAGCAAAGAAAAAAATTCTAAAGTTTTTCAAATTTTTAGCCGTTGTTCATGAATATTTTGTTTTAAAAAATTACAAAGTAACAAAAAGATTTTTTTAGTATTTTTATAAAACTTTTTATTTTTTAAAGGAATTTATATTTTTTTTCCTAGAAAATAACAACAAAAAAAAAAAGAATTTATTTTTTATTTTTCCTAAAATAGGGGGGGGGGGCAAAACGGTCACAACACGCACCGAGAAAATGAGAAGTAAAGAAGAAAAACAAACTTAGACAATTTCTTAAAATGTATACCATACGAAAGAATAAGATTAAATAAATACCTTTCAGAGAAATAATATAGCGATAAAAAGCCTCACCTGAGTGTTTTTATAAAAAAAAAAATACGTTAATTTTCAGAAATCTCCTTTTTCTCCCTGATACTTTAAAAAATCTTCTAAATAACTTCCTTTCCCTTCGCTGTTCAAACGGAGCGCCTAAATTTGAACCAGTTGAAATCGACCAATCAGAAACAAGCTTTCTCAAAGCCCGGCCGCAAGCGATTTCAAAATGAAGCTCATTCTCACAAAACAATCATAGCATCAAAGAAGAAAAAATTAAAAATAAATATTAAAACTTTTTTATTTTTATTATGTTTTAATAAAATAATTTTTTCAAATTTTAAAACCCAATAGGAAAGTAGGTAATCGCATTGGTGCGGTCCTGTTTCTCCTCTTTCCGCCCGGTTTCTTGGTCATTCGGCCTCCTCCCCCCGCCATGCGATGTAGACTCGTTGACAGACGAAATGAAGAAGAATGCCGAGTTTTTTAATAGAAAATGACTAAATTTCTGTATGTGCTGGTCGCTATCCTGTCAGCACTTGTAACAGTTTGGTGCTCGCTTAGTTGGACTTTGTGTATAGCGGTTTTTCTGGGTCTTAGTTTGTTATTATTGCTACTACAGCAAGAGGGAGGAGTACGGCTCTGGCGAGAAGAGAAGTGGCCAGACAACGACACTGCATTGAAAAGAACATATAAAGGCAATAATACAACAGTAGATCAGGAGAATAAAAACTATCACAAGGGTCAAGTCTACCTGAAAAGAAAAAACAGTGTAAATAGAAATCACAACCAAAGTCTCGAGTCTGATTCTGAAGACGAAGAAATTCCAGGGTCGGTTTCGACCAACGCAAGAACATTAACAACGACAATTACTTCAATAATGTCTGGTCTCGAAAAGAGTATAAGCAATAGCCGATTGCTGTCTTTGTTTTCTGTATTTAATAAAAAGTCTAATGGAGAGAATAACCGACCGGTCTCGTCCCCAGGAAGGTACAATAATAACAACAGAGATAAAAAGAACGGACGACAGGCGTTAAGAGGAAATCGAAGAATGGCGGTTGGCGGTGATGGGACACCACACATGTCACCGTCGACTCCGGCAGGGTCTAGGATTTCCCGATTGAATAATGCAGGGATTATCGGATCTCCCTTGTCGTCCCCTTCCAGAGGAAGGATTAATACTGGATATGAAAGTGGTAGAACAAGGAAAGGCGGCAGTACTTCTCCTCATCAACGACAAGGGAGATTTGCCAGTCCAGTCACTCCGTCATCACCGTTATCGACTTCCCCTTTTCCACGTTTTCATAGAACAGCATGTGAATCCCTAGACAGGTAAGTTTTTTTTTAAAAAAAAGATAAATAAAATGTAACCATATGATCTGATGTATTTCATTTGTTTCGTTTTTTTATCCCAATTAACAAGTTAAATATGTACTGTTGAAAAAAAAAAACCCAAAAAAACGCATAGCTCTTTTTTTTTTTTTTTGTCAGTGTTTATAGTTGATTACCCCAAAAACTGATTACTTTTTAGTTTTTTGGTAATCTTTTTTTATTTCTTACCACCGAAATTCGCAACTTAAACAAATTGTTTTATAATATATAAATAATAAAGGTCTTCAATGTCTGATCTTCCTCATCACCAACAAAATATCTATCATTAACCATTCCTTAAAGAAAGCTAAACTCAAAAAAAAGCATTACTTTGCCTTTTTGACTTGATTGTTCAATTCACGATTATTTTTTTTATTTAAATAAATTAAAATTTTTTTGAACATATTGTAGAAAGTAACCCACACATTCAAGCTAAATTTATATATATATATATATTTCATTTTATTTTTATTTTTTTTACAATAAAATTTAATTTTAGAGTCGGTGTTTTTGATAGGTCTTTTACTCTTTTTTATTGATCTTGTTTGATCAGTGATTGATTTTAAGTTTTTTATTTAATATAATTTAAAATTCTCATTTAAGTTTTACAAATTTAAACATTTACAATACACACCAACCTTTCAATAAATTGAAATAGCTTCTTTTTTTTCTTTTTTTTTTTTTTAACTTACAAAAAGCTACTTTTCTTTTAAGGTGAGTCCTGAAAAAATATTAACTGGCTTTGTTTTCTATTTACAATGTGTAACAAATAAATCATTAAGTAAACTTGTTTATAATTACTAAAAAAAACTATTAAGAAATTTAGTTTAACTTGCGTTGATTCTCTTTTTTTCTTTTTTTGTTAAATGATCAAACTAAAAAGTTAATGTTTTTAGAGAGTAGTGCATTCTATTTTTACAAAATTAGAATCGAGCAGTGCCCAGAAAACACAATTAAAGGAAATGTGTTCGAGCGATTTGGAGCCACGTGGATTCCGTAATAAAAAGCCTAAAACAGGCGAGGTTATATTTTTGAAGGTTACTTTTGGATTGAAATAAAAATTTAAAAACAACCTGAATTCTCTAAGTTCCTTTTTTACATTTTAAGTGCGTAAATTGAATCAGAGAACCTATTGACATTCAAGTTCAACTTTCATAACTTGTCTAAGAAGTCTCTCTCCCTAAAAGCAATAAATGTTTATCTGAAGTCCGGTCTGATCAATACAAAAGAAATGATAACCCAAACATTGAAAAAACACTAACAATGAAAATAAGATGTCAAAAGTTTCTCAATGTGCGATGAATAAATTGTCGCCATTTTAGATTCTTAATTTCATGCATGTGTATCGTTTTTTGTTTTGTTTTTTTAGTTTGTCTGCTACACAGTATGGTAGAGTCAGTGTGGGTGGGGGCACCATCTGTGAGAAAAGGAGCACCATGATGCAATTCACTCCACCAGAAAGTTGGAAACAGCATCCTATACTGCTTGGTATTCATACCAGAAGCTTCAATATGAACATTTCAAAGTATTTGGGTGTCGATTTGAGGACAGTGCAGAGGATTCGGAAAGAGTTGGATGAGTCTAATGGTGATTATGAAGGTATGGCAGTTCAGGAAACTCGCTTTGATCGTTCTGATAAGAAAAGAACTCCTTGAAACTGAAGGAACTTCTGGTCCAGCTTAGAAAACAGCAATGATAATTTTGAGGAAAGAACTTTGAATTCCTCAATTCATTCCATGGAACTTCAAAACCTCACTTTGATTTGGGCTATGAGTCCAATTCTGACCTAAAGCCTGATTTTGAGCTGAAACTGACTGACTGATATGTACAGTAACTATACAGGTTGCGATAGGGAAATTGTCGCCATCATATATTTTTAATTTCATACATGTGCATTGTTTGTTTTTTGGCTTTGTTGACTGCACAGTAGTCAGTTGGGCACAATCTGTGAGAAAAGGAGCACCATGCCTCAATTCCTTCAGCCAGAAATTTGAAAACAGCATGCTGTACTGCTTGGCATTCATGCTGAAAGCTTCAATACGAACATTTCAAAGTGTATGGGTATCACTCTGAAATCAGTGCAGAAGATTCAGAAAGAGTTGGATGAGTCTAATAGTGATTACAAAGGTACAGCAGCTCAGAAAATTCACTCTTATTGTTCTGACAAGAAAAGAACCCCCGAATTTGTTGGTGAGATCCAGGCTATGATTGACAAGGATCACTCAAAGTCAATCAGGTCACAGGGACACAGGAGCATTTGGGTTTCTTATTAGGCAGGTAATACATGGAAGACTTTCGGTGTTTCTTATACAAGATAAGAAAGAGCCAAATTTTAATCTCAGGCCATGAAGGACAAGAGGAACGACCACGTTATGAAGCTTTTGAACATAATCAAGCATCCTCTCCAACCGAACATGATTTGGTTTTTCTCGGACAAGAAAAATTTCTGACAGGATAAGATGGAGTCAGAGCACAAAACCTTTGATTCCAAGTCCTCTATTTTTCACACCTCCAACTCTTCTTTGTGTAATTAAGTGATTAAGGCCTACTAACTTGAGTAGGACTATATCATTATAATTGGTTTATATCAAACAATAAAGATATTACATCATACCTATTCATTCTTCAAGATTTTCTAACAGAATTAGAGGCAAAATCTTTGAAAGGTTATAGAAGAAATAAAAATGCTATAATGTAAAACTTTTTACATAAAGTTTAAATTCACTTGGAGTTGGAGTCTGTATAGTTTTACCGACTCCAGAGACCCCTTAATTGCTTTTGACTCCACTGTCATGCACAGAACAACTGTTGGCTTGCTGTGTCCCCAAAAGATGTACTGGAGTGGTGAAAACCAAATATCGAGTCAACATCATGGTGCTTGGAGTGATCACTAGTGATGGCAACGTTATTCATCTTCCCACGGGGCCTTGGACCGAACATGGAGGCCTATATCAAGTGCCTTGAGGAGGTAGTACTGCCCTGGACCAAGAGGGTGGCTACTAGAATACCCTATGTCTGACAACAGGACTCTTTGCACACAAGCTATTCATGGTTGTCAGACAATTTCTGCAATCGTATCATCCTTTATTTCTAGCCACAACCCACCAGACTCTGATTATTATGTGTGGCGAAGAGTTGAGGAAGAGATCAACAAAACTCCTTGTAACACCAAAGATAAACTGAAGGCAGGATTATGGCAGCATTCACCAACAAGGAAACTATCCAGAAAATTTGCAGGCCATGGTTGAAGCCAATAACAATTTTATTGAATAAATTTACTCTTTAATATTTCAAGATATTTTCATGTAATTTTGGTAATTGTATCGTTAGAATGATATGTTTTATTTTCATTTCTGAATAATTTAAACGACAATTTATACATCGCACACTGTAAATGTTATAGCTCTTTCATTGTTGTATACAATAGATAAGTAAGTTTGACATTGCTAGACATGTTTTTAATGTAATGAGTCCCAGGTGGCGATTTAGGTGGGTCCCAACTAAAGTTTCTTAATAAATTGCTGTGCTAAACTGCATGGCTGCTGACTAGGTATTTAATGTTTGTTTATTTTTTCCAATGTCTTAAAAAATTTAATCACACTGAATCACTTAAACTGACTGAAGAATTTTGTTCTGTTTTTTCAAATGGATCAATAAATTTAAAACACAAACAGTATTTACACTAGGAACCTCCACAAGAAAACGCGATACCTAAGGTAAAAATAAGTGTTTAAAAATGAAATGTCTTTCTTGAAACTTTGGAGTTCTAATTTCAAGCTAATAGATTAAATCTAATATTTCTAATATGCAAAATACTTTGCCGTATTTCAAAAACTAATTCAAATTGACTGGAATTTTTTTTTTTTTTTTTTTTTTTTATCTTTCATTGCAATGTAATTCTCTTTTATTAAAAATTCTTCCAAAAATAAAATATACTTTTCTGAAACTTTTTGAGGAATATTAGCTGATTTAAAGTATAATTAATTTGTCTGGAAACAAATATTATTTACTTTGAGTTTAGGATATCATAGGAATGCATTTTTTTTTTTTACACAGACTTTATCTCTAAAATATAATTGAACAAAATGAAGGCAGCACCTTTTTTTTTTTTTTTTTTTTTAAGTACTCGGTAATCTTAATTTCGGGAAATATCCTCTGTAATCTCATGTTTTACTGAATTTTAGAAATGTTGGCTTTAAATTTACTATAGTTATCACTTTTGTTTTCTGATAATATTGTGTATGCTTATCTGTACTTACCAAAGAAATGGTGCATTTATGCATACAAAAATATTCAATATTATTTTTAAAATATTGGTTTTTGATTATTTGCATTAAGCTTTTCCATTTATGATTAGTAAATATAGTTTTTACTTAATATCATCTAAAATGGTGGAAATAATACAGAATTTTAAGATTTAAAGCCTAATAAATTTTTCATATTAAAAAAAAAATAAATTCTTGTAAAAATTCATTATTGAAAGAAAATATTTTTCTTAAGACAATAGTGTCCTTAATACATGTTTATAAAAGCAATTAAAAGCTTTTCTAATTAAATAATGTCATGGTTTTATTTTTTATTTTACAATTCAGTGCAGATTTTCAATAAATTCTGTTTCTGTTTTACAAAAAAACAAACTGACTTAAATTCTCCAGAGTCCTGCTTTTATCTAATATAAATGTGAAGACCCTGGCATTTTAATTTTTTGAAAT